TCCCCCCACCCCTTGTATCCTGAGAAATCCTTGTCGCCTGTGTCCCATCGCAGTTGGCTGCACCCATCCTACAAACTGCAGGTGACTGACACCAACTCCCATACTGTATATCTACATACACCCATGCAGTACAGTACACACACCCCCCTGCTGGAATTACATTACAGTGATTCTAGACAAAGCCAGTAACATCACAAGGATGTAAACAAGGAGCGAGGGTGCCTAATCCAAACACTCACATTAAAAATTAATAACTCAGCGCTGACTGTGGTCCTCTGAGAAAGGACCCACACTAACTCAGACAACATCTTGGTGAGAAAAGATACTTAAAATAGCTTCAAATACTTTGTTGTGAGCCCCAGAATAAGAAAGAATAAACTTGAAGGGAAAAGCAACCACATGTAGAAAGAGACATGTGGGTGGGGGTCAAAAAGCTCCATAATACAAAATATTTTACCTCAGTTCTTTATTGAGGTTCCTTATGACATGGTACAAAATGGTGTCAAGTTTACAAAGACAACAGAGCAGTGTAGCTTTACAACAGCCAGTGTTCATTGTAAAGGAGGAGATGATGCTAGGAAAAACCGGAGGGCAAGTAACAGTAACAGGCAGTCAACAGTAATAATAATAATACGTATAGCAAGAATGTATGTACAAAATATCCCTGAACAGTTACACTGCATTCATTCATTACACAACACACAGAAAAACTTTTCCCTGACATGAACAGAAATGCAAATAAGATATGGTAACAAAAAAGTCATCATAGTAGACACAAAAATGGTTGGCAACACAACTTAAAGACTCTGTCCTATTACATTTGTTGAATGAACTTATGTCCTCTTGCTCGTTGTAGGCTTAAATGGTTCACACAATGATCTGGCATGGCAGGGTGACTGTGACAAGTCAAGTCATGCTTAGGACACAAGATCACAGGAAATAAAGTTCAAGTAGAGCATTCTTTTCTTCTATGTACACACACACACGCGCACACACACACACACACACACACACACACACACACACACACACCTCACTCAACCAAGTGCTTGCTTAGTGGTTTCCCACAAAACTCCACCATCCAACTGTCTTCTACTATGCCCCCCTATCCTGTAGCTCAACAGTGGAATAGACTTTTACAGATACACAAATCGCTGACATGCAGCATCCATAAATTAGGAAAAATTCAAACACAGGTGACAAAAAAAAAAAAAAAAACAGTTTCCAAAATGCTGCAAACCGCGCATAAGCTTCGAAGAGTCCAGCAGTTTACAAGTGTAAACAATGAGAGAAATTACCATCACAATAAGTACAGAGAAAAATAATACACACCCGTTTCACAAATAGGTAAAATTGCAGTTTTTGTTTTATGCATAGAAACTAATCCTGAAGAAAAAAAAACCCATCAGTAGATGAAACTTTATTCACAAAGTTGGTGCATACTGTCACAAAGTCAGGAGCGTAGCCTTTCTAGGCCCCGTGAGCCCTGTAAACATTATGTTAAGTGACAAGTGTTGTGACAACAAAGCGCCTTTAAAATGTCTGAGAAACTGCAGGCAGACAGTGTTTGGATCCATTTCTTCCCCGTGCCTGTTCAAACATCTTTAGTCTTTAAAAGGTCTTCTCAACAGAAAACATCTGGGTAGCACGTTCTGCTGACTCTGGCAATATATTAACATTGTTCTATTGCTAGGCTCTTTTATTCAATATAATCACTCCCCTATATTATCTGGCAGTTGGTGCATGTCTCCACCTGTCCAGGGGGTCACCAGGGAGATAAATCACTCGTGTTTTGCATCTTGTGCTGCAACATGGTGATCAGTTTCCTGTGGCGGTGCACTTCCTGTTCAAGAGCTCTGGTAATCTCCCTGCTGAATGTCATGGCCTTGTTTTGCTCTGTGGTCTAAAGAACTGTAGGCACTTAGTTTCAGCCAGCTTTGCATACAGTCGTGAACAGCGCAGCTGGTGGCTGCTGTGTGCCTCTGTGCTGGCAGACAGGAGTGGGCTGCCTGCTGCTTTCTACAGCACCGCAGCTTCTTCTTTCAGCTAGGTTCCAGTTTAACTTGACTGTCAGTTCTATTATGGGATGGGGTCTTTTTTATTGGAATGGGAGAGTTAAATGCTGTACAGTGCTATTTTAATGTCTGTGAAAAAGAACAGTTGTCAGGGTGTAGAAGTCAAAGCTACGCTCACCTCTGTGCTACTCTCAGGCGGGAGATCGCCCACTATGGCTGGATTCCCCCTGCTTTCCACATACTCTGTTTGGCTCTGCCCTTCCTCCGCCTCTATGACTGTCACGTCAGTCTGCATTTTGCTCTCCATTTCTGGCGGATCCAAACTTATTTCATCCTCCTCCATTTTCACCACTGCTGTTTCTTCTTCAGCTTTTATAGCAGCTAACGTGTCTGCGGCGCTGGCCTGAGCATATGCACCGACGCTGGCATGGCTCAGGCTATGAACTTTCTTCAGGTGTTTCTCCAGAGTGGCGTACACAGTGAAGGGTACCGAGCACAGCTGGCACAAAAAGGAAGCTTTAGCTCCCTGGGCACCATGGGTCTTCATGTGGCGCGTTAACTTGGAACTCTGAGCGCAGGCGTAGTTGCACAGGCCGCAGCGGTAGGGCCGCTCACCTGTGTGGCTGCGGCGGTGCACAGTCAGATTACTGCTATTTCGGAACTGTTTACCACAGTACTCACAGGCCTCATCTTTCTTCTTCTTACCAGCTGAACCAGCAGTAGTAATGTTAATGATCCCTCCACTGCTAACGCCCCCTGCAGCACTCCTCCACTCATTCTCCCTCTGCCACTCCTGCAAAGACTCACTGACTTTAGCTGAGCTCCACTCTTTCTCCCCCTCTGTAATCTCTCCTCTTTCATTCTCCCACTCTCCAACTCCTCGCACCTTGTCGCCCATCTCTGGGTGTTTGGGTGTGCAGTTGCCGCTAGCGATACCGCTCTCACCACTGCCCCCGGTTTCTCCACTCTCCAGTGAACCTTCAGACGGGCTGGCGCAGGGTGAGGTGTGCTGGGGCTCCCCGTGCCCCTCTGTGCCCTCCTCTCCTCCCTCTCCCGCCTCTCTCTGGTGCTGGTACTGCCTCAGCAGTTCTCTATCTGCTGGTCTAGCCTGTGAGGTGAGCAGCATCAGGCCTGAAGCTACAGACAAGTGTTTGGGCAGGGTCAGGTCCAGCTCAGAGGGACCCTGGGCTATTCCCTTTCCCAGGTTTCCAGCTGGCTGCATTGGAAACTTCCTTCTCATCCTCTGCTGTCCAAAATCCTCCTCCATCATGACCATATCCACTGACTCATATCCGCTCCCTCCACCTCCAGCTTCTCTGTGATGGCTCCTTATGTGACGGGCCAGCTGGCCGCTCTGGGCAAAGGCCTGCCCGCACACTCCACAGTGATAAGGCCTCTCACATGCATGAGTCCGGCGGTGGGCGGACAGAGAGCGCAGGGACTGGAAGTTCTTCTCACACAGCTCACAGTGGAAATCAGCCTGGAGTGCACCAGTCTGAGGGAAGGGAGAAGCTGCTGGCGGAGAAGAGGACGGAGACGGCACCCGGCCTCCAGGGGAGTTGCCGGTGGTGCTGTTATTCCCCTCTGCAAGCTCCCTGAGCCGCACTGAAAAGTTCAGAGCCTGCATGTTACTCGAGGAGGAGGAGGTGGTGTGTGTCTGACGGGAGCGACTGGGACGCAGCACAGAGGGCTGAAAGGCTGAGGCAAGAGCCTGGCTCAGATGACGTGGGTCCAGAATGGCTGCAACAGGTTTATGCTCTTTAAGAGCTCCTCTTCCTCCCCTCAGGTCTGCATCATCTTCCTCATCCTCCTGGTATATGCTGAAGGAGTGTGTGTGCTGTGCGTGCTGTAGGAGTGCCCATGCAGATGAAAACACGCCTTCACACTGCTGGCAGGTGAAATAAGATGGCACGCCTGGCAATGGGAAAACAAAGAAAGACAAAACTGATGAGTGAAGTCATAATTATCTTTGGTTTCATCGTTACATGTGACCTCTTTCACACACAAGTAGTCATGTGATTTCAGTACGTGTTCATATATAAACTTTAAAGCTATTCAAGTTGAACAGCAACAGAATAGCACAGACAGACTGATACAGAATCAAGTGAAGGTGAAGAGAAGGGTCCATAATCACAAAAAGAACAAAACAAGAAAAAAAGCGTGTGGGAAACAGAAGAGAGGAATCGGGCTCTGGAACCTGAAAATCCAACAGAGAGGTGAGCCATGACGAAAAATGCATCTGGAGATATTTTTATATGTGGATAGCTTTGTCTCCTAAACGAGAGCCACTCTCCAATTAAGCTGCAAATTGCTAATTAGCAGAACGTAGAAAACGAACACTTTATGCAAATCAGGCACTGACTCAACCTGCTTGACAAATGAGGCCTTTCTGCATAAATCAAAATTGGAAAGAAGATCCCCACATTGAGGGCGAAAACAGTCCCCCCCCGCCTCCTTTATTTGGAAAGGTTCAAAGCCGACTCTGGTATAAGCCTCTTTCATGTTTCCTCAAGTCAAATCGGTCTGTATTTTACTGGAGGGGGGGAGGAGAGTGAAGATGAAAAAGAGAGCAACTGTTTCTCTCTCGTTTTCCCCATCTCCCGCCCTCTCTCTGTCTGGAGACGAGAGGAGTTGTGGTGTTCGTGTCCTTTAACCTAGCCTGAGGAGAAACCCAGGAGAAGTTGAGATACTTCTTTGAAAAATAGGGTGAAGCGTGAGAGCAGGGGGGAAAAAGAGAGAGATAGATAGGTAGGTCAGGGCTCGGGGGAGAAAAGGAAAATGAGATAAAAAGATTATAAGTACGGAGGGCCAAGAGACACTACGGAAATGTGTCACCCCTTTGAATTGTACTTGAGACCCATCCTCCAACCCCAGCTCTCCTTGAGCCCCCCCCCCCTTCAAAAAGCCTTCAAATCTTTCCCTGAGGTGGGGGGCTTTTGTCCCGGGGTCCTGGAGTGAAACACAATACCCAGCCGGTTTCTCCTTCCTTGCCTCTCTCCCCTTGCTTTTTTTTCTGGTAAGGATTCCCATTTGGCCTGGGGTAGCACTTGAATATTAAGCAGAAGCAATAACTACTAATTAAAAATGCAGATTGGCTGGGAGCACTAACGAGCAGCAGGCAGGATCTCTTTTCCCTTGGGAGGCAGAGGAGGGGAAAAAAGGGGGCTGGTGGGGGGGGAATCGAGAAATTGAAAGAGGGAAAAGTGAAAGTGTGGATTGGGGGAAGAAATGGGGGGGTGGAGATTAGAAAAAAAAACAAACATGGAGAATAAATAAAAAGGAATGAGACAGATGCACGCGGCTCCTCAGTAATCCATCCCACTCTACCCCTTTTTCACCGCTCATCTCTTGAAAACAGAAAATAGATGAAGGATGGAGCTATCTGTTGTGGGATAACTGCTCTTTCACATTCAGTCATCTCAAAAGCCTGACAAGCTCAGTTTCCCTCCCACAAAACAGCTCACTGCTCAAGCAAACGAGACTTCCTATTACTTACAAGGCTGCACGTTGTCCAATTAAAACTGCCCTTTGCTACTTTAACATGCAACAACTCAAACGTTAAAACTCAAATCAAGAAGCCAGAGGAGATAAGAACACTACAACCTGAGGAGAGAATTACAATCATGAACTCCAAACAAATGAAACCTACAATTTCTAATAGAACTTTAATTTAAACTTATCCACTTTTGTATTATTCACAAGCTGTCGTGCACTTTCGTCCCCGTCTCCTGCATTTGTTTGGTTTGTTGTATAATCCTGTGGGCACCAAATTAAATTCTCTGACTGTAAGTGAAAGACAGAGTGATAGATTTAAAAAACCGAAAGAGTAAAACAAGAGAGGCTGTGGACAAACGGAAACGGTGCATGCACCCATCCTCTGAGCGTTAAACAAAAGGAAGGAACTGCTAACGTGTGTGTACATGACAGGGAGAGTTTCAAAATATGCAAAAGGGTGCTTGTACCTATCAGCGTGTCACAAGATGCTCTGTCCATCTGCAATCATTTACAACATCACACACGCTCCCTTTTCATGTAGGAGATGGAGCCTGGCCTTAAACTACATCTGACCTTTGCAAGGAAAACACAGTAACTCTGCTCCATCTCAAACACACTGTTAGACACAGGACAGTTCATTTTTCCAGAGAATTTTAATGAGAATTCATGAATTGCTGATTGGGTTTTGATGGGTTTGACTGCTACCATGACAAATTATCATCACAGTGTCCACTAACATATTTTTATTCTTCTAAAAAAAAAAAAAACAAAACAAAAAAAAAAAACAAGAATAGCAGCAGAAAAGGATAGCACAGATAAAGGCCTTTAGGAAAATCAGTGCTAGTGTATGGCAGAATGAGGAGAGAGATGGCTTAAGAGAAAGAAAATATGAGACAAGGGCAAGAAGATGTGTATAAGATGAAGAGAACACAGGGAGGAGGAGATTCCCTGGAGTTCAGGTGGCTTGGCCCAGGGCAGAACAGTGGGAGATGGCAGAGGCACTGCACATGATGCAATGTCCTCCATTACAGTGTCATGACAGTGAGGAGAGAGGCATGAACACATCCTCTCCTCTGACCATCCCATCCTGCAGTGCATGACTACGACCAGCACACCTCTTTTTGAAACACACCAAATGGCCTTATTAACACTGAAACGTGCTCCCATGCTGCTTCTTAAGAGGACATGGTTTCAGTCTCTGTTGTCCAGAGCACAGTGGAAGACAGGGAGGGAGAAACATGTTTACCTGGCCATTCCACCTCAGAGACTGACAGTCAGGGAGACAGGAAGGAGCTCTGGAGCTCAGGTGCTCGGTGTGAAGCCCTTGGGGAGCCTCAGTGCCCTCTGAACGCTCCTAAAGCCTATCCTTTCCACACAATTAGCCTGTGCGTCACTAACTCATGCAGGTCTGCTAATGGCAACGGCTAGCTAATGAGCTGGACTTGGGAGGGAGGGGGAGCAGTTGTTAAATGAAGAGGAGGGAGGTTGAAAGAAAAAAAAAAAACAGTCACTAACAGGCAAACTGCCTTCTTCTGCTTTTCTTTCCTGGCACTCACCTGATGTTCTGAACTCTGCCTTCACTTTCTCACCGGACTCCTCCCCCCAGACTCTGTTCCTGGCCACCCCTCTCCTCAACTCAATGAAGCCGGGCCCCAGCTCAGCATTGGCGGCACGCTGCTGCGCTCGATTGGCAGGGGAGGGCGGCGTGGCATTTGTGATTGGGGCTTGGTTTCGAGAGAGGCAGCCGCCCTGTTTGTGCTGAATGAACGCCAGGATGTGGGCGAGGGGGAAAGCCTGGCTGCACTGGCCACAGGTCAGGAGGTCATGACCCTCATCAGGAGTTTGAACTTGCGCTGGAGGAGGAGACTGGTCGTCTAATGAGCCAGAGCCATCCGCCATGTCACTGGCATCTGAGACAGGCCAGAGAAATGAGAGACAATTTAATTACAGACAGACTAGCAGTCAAACAGTCAAACAGACAAACTGATGTGCAAAACATGACACGAGAACCAGGACGGGGCCCATCAGTTATATATATATATATAAATATAAATAAACAAACATGTACAGTTCATTACACAGGGATTTAAGCAACATTGCACCTTAGTGTTGAAAAAATAAATTGTATGATTTTAACAAAGCTTTAAGACAAACAATCAAATTAACAGCTTAGTCAATTGACATAACTGATTGTTAGTGATTTAATGAAATTGTTTTCTTAGAATACCTTAAGTTTGGACTGTTGGTCAGATAAAACAAGACATTTCAACCTTGCCTCACACCAGCTTTTTTTTTTTTTTAACAGAATTTAAACTTCAAGACTACAAGTATCACTGACATTAAATATCCCACACCAAAAAGACAGGTGAACGTATGAACAGTACCAAAACGTTCTGATCCACACATCCTCTAGCAAGAGCCCCCGTTCATTTGTTTTCTGTTGAGAGGTTTTTGCCCATGCCTTTACAAATTAACGTCTAAAAGCTAAAGTACAAATCGCACAAATGCTGTTAGACCTCAGTGGAACAACAAAAATATGTGGTGATTCAAAGTGCTACTTTCAGTTGTAAGCAGTACAGCAATGAGGCCAATCTGCTCAGCCAGTACTGACCACTTCCTTTACCAAACTCAGAACAGAGCCACTGGCTGCGACTGCTGGGGGTGGAGAGAGGCCAACTGTCCCTCTCAGCAGATGTGTCGACCTCCATTTAACAGGACTACGTGCTGCTGACAAGTCAAATCGTTAAGTTAAAAGTGTAAGATTATGACTTTCACCTTTCACTCTCAATAATAAGTTGCCCTACCAGCCACAGGCCACGGGCGTTTCTCAACAGGAAGTGTAATGCAATAAAAGAGAAAAACAAGAGACTGACGGTGTCTGAGATAAGAGCAGCCCCTGCGTTTTGTGGTCATAGCCATGTACAGGACAGCTAATCTGATTCAACGTTAACAACCTGACAAATCCGATGTGGTCTGCACTTTTCAGATGCATGCTCTTTGCAGGCAGAGGTGAGTACTGAGGAGTGTGGATACAGCTTCAACAAGAGCCTATGTAAACTTTGGTTATTAAAAAAAGTCTCCAGACTCAGGGCAGGTAGAGCTCTCTGTGGTGGAGGGAGTCAGTGGACTATTGCTCAACAAGGTCATGGGCACACCTTGATGCCTGGACTGAATCCACCTGCCTGGACTAGGCCGGCTGGCACACAGGACAGGTACAGACACTACAGTCTGAAGTCGGATCTCGCCAGTTGTTACTCAAAAATGTCACCTTTCCTGTTTCAGGACAGTGCTGTTTGTGCAGACTTGCAAGGCGCGGTCTCTCTCTCTCTCTCTCTCTCTCTCACACACACACACACACACACACAGGCAAAGCGAGAGAGAGGGTTGAGTCAGGGCCTGTGGTCACAGTAGACACGCACCACTGGTCTCCAGTAGAGAACAGTAAAAAAACAAATGTGTTTAAGTTTCTCTTTTATTTGCTTTCAAGCATCACGTGTTTCTTTGCGAGCTGCTCTTTCTACTTGAGGAATCTGAACAGAATCAAATGGCGATCTGAATGAAATCCGGTCTAGTTTTATTTATCAGCATTATTTAAATGGACACACATGTAAAAGTCGGTCATAATATGGCCAGGCTGGACACAACCTCTTGGCTTTGGGTAATGTGTCAAAACCCAGCACTAGGAAAACTGTCCAACACCTTTCAGGAACATGGGAAATATTAATTATCGTGTTCGGACCTGTAGCCTCTGAAAGCAGCGTGCCAAAAAACCGGTCCTTCCTCTATGACTGAGCACAAGTGCAACGAAGAGTCCACATCAGGACAAACACAAGAAAAATTATAAGCCCATATATAAATATTTTCTGTCAAAGTCAGCAAAAGGGACTAAATAAAATTCACTGCGGTACGATTTGGGCCAGTGTAAGCACAGAGTTTAAAACCTCTTGGCAAGTGTTATATTCTTTAAAATTCAAATATCCATTATAATACTTATTCAACTATTAACCTGTGATAACTGATGCCAGTGCGCATCCAAACCATGCGGATCAATTGTCAGTAAAACAAACCCACGACCTGAAATTAATTAGGTTTTGCCATAAAACCTCAAATTCCGTCTCTCACAGCCTTGACGTGCCCGCACACCGCGGCTCTCCCTCCGGCTTACCTTGAATTGCACTCAGGTGCTGTGGTCTGCTTCCAAGTTTGCGCCTGGACATCGCGTCGAGCGTTCCGCGTTTGGCACCTTTCTGGGTCCCAAACAGCAAACCTCCCAAACGAAATCCGTCAAGCGGCACTTTCTGCAATATGTTGACCGAAACCCGAGCGGACAGACTGATAAGCCTTGCTGGCCTCTGCCTGGACTCGCACTGAGCAGTGGAGGAAGCGTTCAAGTTCACGCTTCTTCCCCCGCAGCGAGCGGAGGGCAAAGGGGGCATGTGCGACTGTAAGCACCGCCCGCACCGCCGTTCAGCTCCCGCGACTCTGACCACGCCCTCGTCGATGAACACGCTCCGTAAACACACTCTTTGATCACTATATATAGCTTTCCTCTTTTACAACCTCGCTTTCTGGATTTTACGCAGTTTCACCTGTCTGTTTCAATCGCATCTGATACAGGAAATCAACATGTAGTTCCTCCTCGCCAGCTCAAAAGAACTAACTGGCAGATTTTCCACAGGTTTCTCCAGAACCACGCCGGAACCAGGAGGAACCTTCATTTCTCCTTTTCGTTTACCATCTGTGACTGCAAAAGAGCCATTTATAAAAAGCAGAAACTCATAAAAAAAGGTGTCAAAACTTCACAGAATGACTTATTACCAGCTGCAGCTAAGAATCTTCTGCTGCAAACCAGATTTGTCGCCACCTACCGACAAACCTGTAACACTTCAACTAAGGGTCAACTACGACTTACATTAAACAATATCGTCTCGATAAAATCGCACACACTGAAGCATTTTTAAAATCAGTATTTGATTCAACACAGATATAACTAACGTAAAATATAAAAAAAACAACTTAAGGAATCTGTAAACAGAGAAAAACACGACAAAACCAATTTAGAAGTCACTTTTTATTGGTTGTCCTATGTTTAACGTTCCACATTACTGAGAAGAAAAGTTATTTGCCGTTATTAACCAGCTGGCTGTGGACAAACAGTACAAAAGGAGAGCGGACAGTTTTAATCAATGCACAAACTGACTTCATCAGCTTCCATAAATAGGTTTCTAATGAATGTGTAGAAATATCCTGTACATCAGTTACCAAGACTCTTTAAAAGGGTCCTTAGTGGAAGAACTTCTTGCTAAAGCAAAGGAACATCACTATATCTAAGGTGAAAGTTAAGGTATAGCTTAGTATAATATACATTGAGTACAAATGTCTCCAGATGTGTGCAGTGAAAAGAACTGTTCAGGCAGAAAAGGTGAAAAAAGTGAGAACATGTTTATGGGAAGAAAATCGTTTAATAAGATGGTGCTTACAAGATGAAGCCAAAATGAATATGGCAGATCCAAATCAGCTGTGAAATAAACTAAAACGCCACAGTCCGAGGTTTAAACTCTGCATACATGAACAGTACCAGAGAGCACATATGCTCAGGTTTAGATGTTTGTTGGTCAGTAACCGACCAGCAGGTGTGTGTCTTCTTTATTGGAGAGCAAACGTATGCCGGTGACAAAAGTGTAGGATTGTTTTCCACGTCAGCTCAGTATCTGTGATATGGGCTTCGTGATCGAGATCTTGACCTCCTGGAGAGTGAAAAGAAAGGTGCAGATAAACCTCAGTATAAAAGCCAGCAACAAAAAACTGTATAAATGTCTAAAAACGCTTGTACATCATCATCAATTACTTTGATTTAGTTGTTTCGTACATAATCTAGACTGGAGTCAGTTTTATAGACTAGAGTGAGGCAGACCAATCAGCTGGATGAATACACTGACCTTTTTGCAGACATAACATTGGAGATGTACATGTGGAGTCATTTTAATGAGTATATTCATTTGCTGACCAAATTTCCTAATTGAAGAGATTATTATCACAATGTTTATGATACAGTAAAATTATAGGTAGAAAAAAGAGCAGATCATATTATATAGGTTAACCCTCCTGTAATATTTGTCTCATTTAAAGCAGTTATGTTCGTGGGTCAATTTGACCCGCAACATAACAGGAGGGTTAATAAATTGAAATCCTGAACTTTCAAAAGTAAATTAATTTACTGTGGTTCACACTTGTAGTAGCTTTACTAATACTTATGGGAACAAGTCTGGACTATTGTACTTTCAATATTAATTTGGACCTGGATGATTTTTTAAAAATATATTTCTGTTCTGACTTGACTTTACACACTCAGACAAGCCCTGACACTAGCTCCGGATCTGAGTGAAGACAAAGCCAAACAGACCGGCGGCAACATTAATGCAAATGGCCTGTGACAGTGTTTTTGTGTTGATGAGGAAAAAATCCCAATAATTCATTTTGCTTCTAAGGAGCTGTGCAGATTCTTGTGGCGTCTCACAAACCTTCTGGATGAGTTGTCTCGGCCTGGGGGACAGAGGACAGAGCCATGATGAGAACAGCCTGCCAGAACATCTAACAGCCATTAAACTGTCAGAGCAGAAACTGACGCCAGTAAATCACAAAGAGGCGGAGCTGATTAAATATTTTGGTTTCTGTTCAACTGTGTCAACCATATTATCACTATACGATCCCCGTGTGTTTGTTGGTCACTAACCTGGACTCTTACCATATTTAGAAGGAGAAGGCGAATGGCTCTGTCTCCCGTACTGTCTTTCCCATTCATCCCTCTCTTTCTCACGGCGCTCACGCTCCCTAAACACAGAGCCTCTGGGTCAGACAATTGCAACAGACACAAATACCAAACAGTCCACTAATACAACACAGCTTCTTACTTCATGCGTATCTTGCGTGCCATGGCTCGCAGTTCTCCCTCGCGCTCCTGTAAAATAAACACAGTAATCAGGGGGAATGGAGGATAATAAGAGTCTCTGTTGTTGCTTAAATCTCAAGTGCATGCACAAAATATCAAACACACACCTGTCGTTTGTGTTCCTGCTGCTGGATCTTCACCTGAGCTGCTTTTTTATCTGCCTTGGCTGCAAGACCAGAAAATTGAGGAAATAAAAAAAAAAAAAAAAAGTCAGTTTCTTCATCTGTGTTATTTGCATACTGTGGCAAATGCACAAGGGTCACATCGAGTACACCATTTCACAGGTCTGTACTATCTTCACTTGTGCACAAACAATAAACACATGCACTCTGCTCAGTGGTACTCACACTGCTTGTTGAGTGCCTTCTGCATACGCAGCTTCAGACGCTCCTGTGGGGTCAACTTGGGCTGCAGGAGACACAGTTGTGTTAGTACAGACTTTCACAGCCCGACAAAAGTGTGTATAAGAAAAAGAGTGAGCAGAGGTACTGTGTCATTATACAATTTTAGTAGTATCACCTTTGTATAGAGTAGCTGTCCCAGATATAAAAAAAAGTCAAAGATTAATTACAGGTGATGTTTGTTGAGTCAACAAGCTCGCTGGAATCTTAACTTGCTGAAAAGGCTGTGTGTGTGTGTGTGTGTGTGTGTGTGGGGACAGAGGAAAACTGCTGCTGTGGGACAGTTTAGGAGCAGGACAGGATCCAGTCACATGAATGTATACACAATATATTTTTATGTATGAAGTACTGTCAGAAAGGGAAAAGGGAGTAGGACGGCTGAAGAAAGAGAAAGGGTCAGAAACAAGAGCAAGTTCAGGTCCGGTGAGTTCAGAAAGAGCCAGTGGCATTTTGTCACTGACACACCCATCGCTGGGCCGTTTCAACCTGGCCAGGCAAGAAAGACTGCAGGTCTCAACACTGCAGGCAAGTTTTCAAGAGAAGATTTTAACTTCCACTCTGTTTGTCTGTTTGACTGCTAGTCAAATATTCTCTGTGAGAATTCACAGCACACACTGTCAAGCATGTCAGAGAAAGTAACACATTTAGTCGTTATTTAGTCTTAATGGAATAGTTGAACACTTAGGGAAATGCTCTTTCGCTCTGCAGATGATAGAGATTGATAGCGCTCATGTCTGTATACCAAATATATGGCCGCATGAGCAGCTTGCAGCATCTCTAAAACAATCATATCTGGTTTGTTCAATCTAGAAATTGGTTGTGACACAAAACCCATGTAAAGTGGCAGTTTGTCTGTTGTCATTGAACAGACTGAATAAACAAGATACTACATTTTAAAATGCAAGTGTGCCGCTAGGCACAATTTGTTCACTTTGGATGGAGCCACACAAATCATTTCTCCGTTTCCATTCTCTTTCATAAGCTAAACATCGAGTTTCAGATTCAGAAAGTAAACAATGCAACTCTGAACAAGACTGAAAATACATCTTTCCCAAAATGTCCAACTACTGCTTTAAATCTAGCTTCAGGTCTTCAGTCTGTACGTGGGGCATTCAACGTTTTTGTTTAAGAGTCAGAGCAAACTCTGTTGCTTGTTCAAACAAGCCCAGGTATGGGCTGTCCACAACACACCCAGCTTGTCTTTCATAGTCTTATCACTTGGCCAATACTGATTCATAAAGTGTAACAAGACACGTGGTGACAGACAGAAGCAGCAGTCTTCTTCCTCTCAGAGCTGTTGATTTACTGCTTTGTTTTGGAGACTACAAACAAATGTACAAAGACGCCGCACTCTCTCACCAACATTTATATGTACACATACATGCACCACCCAGACTACAAGCACAACTCAAGGAAATAAATAATGATCCCACTGGTTCTCTAAAGGTTCACTCCGTACAGAGATGCCAGCATTCAGTCACTTGTCAATGTTGGCAAGAACACTAATGGTCATTTCGAAGGAGATGCAGGGCTCTGATGGCAGTTTAAGTCCACTTTGGGGGGGGACCGCAAGAGAAAAGAAAAATCACATCATTTTATTCTCTGTGAGCAAAAATGGCTTCTACATCCCAGTGTGGTGGACAACCCTGTCAGCCTGTCAGGGATGAGTGAGGCGTAGGCTTTAGCAAAAAACCCAGCTAGAGCAAATTCTTACTGACTTTGGCAGCTCCCGTCTCTTTACCACCCGCGGTATCAGGCCTGGAGAAAGGAAGACAAAAATACAATATACTGAGGTGATGAAGCCATCTTGGTTTACACACAAACACAGTTCAGTGCTGAGCGGTAAACAGGACTTTGTTTACAACTGCTGCTACTCATTAAGGAGAACAAAAATCAATACAGATGGCCCCTATTAAGTTGGTGTTCTAGATTCATGCACCTCTGGGCTGATGGTGTCTTAACACAGTTTCTTATAGACTAAGTGCTGGTAAAAATGGTGCAAATCTGCCCGGTCTATCTCAAACATCCTGTGTCAGAGTCGAGCAACATTCCCTAGTTGTGCGTGTGAAGTGGTGCGTATCCATGCCTGCTTGTGATAATGCTTATGAAATCTTCTTACTTTCTTAGTTTGTCTGAGATGACGATGGTAGATGGTTGGGCCCCTCTGTGAGCAGGGGAAGGGCTGTGGTTTGGGCGGCTAGAGGATTGAGAGGGACTGCGGCTGCCACTGTCTCCACGCCGATGGCCTCCACTGCTCCGACCCCGTCGCCTAGAACTGCCCCTCTGCCGTGAGCTGGAACGTGACCTGACAGTAGAGACAAGGGCACATTTCACTAGCACGACAATGTAAAATTGCAACTCTAGTACTGACATTGGATGCCAAGGAGTCTTACCTCGTTCGTCTGCGTGCCGAGTATCGTCTCCTGTCTCTGTCCCTCTCTCGCTCTCTGTCTCGGTCGTTGGACCCCGATCGTGTCTGGTAAAGCTCTTCCTCTACCTCTAGAGCGAGATCTGGAACGTCGTCTTGATCGTGACCGGCTCCGGGTACGACGCCCATCTCTTCCCCCGCGTCCTCGTCGGACTCGGCGTGAACAGGAAGAAGAGCGAGAGGACGACCGAGATGAGGAGCGGGAGGAGGAAGAGGAGGAGCGACTGGAGGATGACTTTCGCCTCCTGGACAAACACAGACGGCTCGTTTTAGTAAGAATACCAGCCCAGCACCTAGCCTGTCTTAATAATACTTCTGCTGTCTGATTTTAAGAATCCTTCCATCTCGTGGTAAATGGAGGCATTAAAAGTGCAGATTTCCATGTAGTCATAACGTGATAATCATCAAATGTATGTACCTGTATGTCCAATCTAAACTACCTGATCACACGTTTTCTCTGTGCAAATGCATAAATATGCTTTATTTGTTATTCATCAGCAACTATATGAAGTGATTGTTTGACTGAAAACATATCCACCTCACCTTCCACACAAATCAACCCCTATTCTTTCTGTCAACTACTGTGGCCATTTTAATGAACACAATGACTGCAAGAGGAAAACAACCAATAAAAAGCCAAGAAGAGGGAAAGTTACCGACCGGGAGCCCCTGCTATGACCTGCAGGGTGCTGCAAGCTGGAGGGGGTGTGGCCAGATTGAGGAGCAGATGCTTGAGTTGCTGTTGCAGCTTCATCATCACTGCCTCCAAAGCTGGTGATGAAGGTGATCTTCTCTGGACCCGGAGAACGAGAGTGTGACCGCGACTCAGAGCTGGATTCTGACTCTGGCCTGAGAGAGGCAAGAAAAAGCTGAAAATACCCATCTAATACACGTATGAACAACAACAAGAGGAAATGAAGGAAAAAAAAAAACCAACATTGTGGGTTGATTCACCTTTTATAGGGATCGTATGTTGGGCTGTCTCTCCTGGCATAGCTGAAATACAGAAGAATGGGGACTTAAACATGCTTTGAGTTAAGCGGACTCCTAATGAAGAAAACAACCTTATGTATGACATAGATGTACCTTGGTGGGCTGATCTGTCTGCCCTTTAGCCTCTTCTCTCTGAACTCCCTCCTTTGTCTGCGGGAACGCCGGCCCTGAGATAATCAATACTTGTGCATTACAAAGCTGCAAACAACAATACATGACACACAGACACAAATTTGCAGTGGATGTAATCTTACGGAATACATGGCCTTCTCTGCCTCCAGCGCTTTGGCGTGTTTGATGGCCTCCACTTCCTCCTTGTCTTTCCTCAACATCCTGATAAACAGGCAACATGATCACTGTGTTAGCTGCTAAATCAAGTGCAGAGTTGAGGCAGTTTCTCAATAAAAATGTCTTCAACTGCTCAATAAAGCAAAACATTACAAGCAAAACAGTCTTACTGTTAAATTTTGGAAAGCATAGCTCTTTTACAAGTTTCAGTCACTTCCTGGATTAAAATAAAAGATCAGTCTTGGAGACACAAGCTGCTTTTGCTCCATTTAGAGATTTTTTCACAGGGGGGAAAAAAAAGATAACATGATGCTTGTGATAAGCTTTTCCTATAGGTCGTGTCTGCTAATCTTACAAACTCTAAGGTGAACAACAAACCAACCTACATGGACTACAGCAAGATATTCTTAATCATAAGAGATCAAAATAACCACTAGACCCAATACTGCTCCAAAACTATGTGCTTCTGATGATACCTAACAAAGTCTCCTTCGGCCATTCCATATGGGGTCGCCATTTTGTTTAGGTCCAGCACCTGTTCCTGGTTCAGCTCATCAACATCAACCTCCACATCTGAACATACACACAGACATCAATTTTTTTTATTACAACATGCCAAAGCTTACATTCTACTTATACTCAAGTTTAACTAATATTTGCAATTTCCAGGGACCAGGAGTTCAAAACCTGAAATCGCTATCTGAGAGGATAAGAGTTGGATTTTAGGTAGTTCAAAACAAACAAACAGGATTGGGATCACTTTGACATCTGACTGGATCAGGAAAGTAAATCTGAGCTTCATCCTGGCTTAAATCCTCAAACCGGTTAGTTCAAAACAAAACTACAGGATTAGTCTTAGTTTGATCCAAATATTTGGATTACTTTGATCTCAGCAAAGGGCTGGTTTTCCAATGGATGACCAGAAAAAAAATCTACTGTAGAATTAAATAAAAAATGTTTCAATGTAAATAAGATGGTACGGTTTGTAAATTGAAATAATTCATCATTTGTAGCCTTTATATGGTTGATAAATTTTCATTTATTTTTGTCACATTTGCAGTGGCCTCTTGAATACTGTACCTCTCAGGACAATGTCTTTAACCAAATAATGTCAATCACAAATGTAAATTTTGATTAAATAATAAAAAATGCACAAGTCCACCATCTGTGATTAACCTTCAAAATTAATTGTGGACAGCAGTATCACACTTTGCACGACCACTCAGTCACTCATTTAAAGGAAAATCCACAGGTGGCCCTGGAGCATCAGCAGGATGGATTCATTATTTTTTATTGTAATTACTTTATGAACCCTTTTAAGCAAGGGTTAGCATTAGAGTAGCTCTGCCTTGCTATACTGTCTGTCTTCCTCATGTTGTTCTTCATATCCATTAGGTGGAGATAGGTAGGATTAAAACACTGGTATTCAGGATCTGGTCATCTTGAAAAGTCTGAATCTGGATCAGGGTGATCTTATCTTGAATTGCTCTGTAATACCAGGACAAAATCTGGCTGAGTTGTCTGATCTTGGATTGCTAAATTTTGGATTTCCAAATCTGAGATTAAAAGTGTTGAACTCCTGGGCACAGAGCAGTTCCTTGGCTTTCAGCAGGTACGTTAAGTATAATTAAAGAAAACCCATTTCCTCACCAATATCTGGGATGCCCTCATCCTCTTCAGATTCACTGTTCTCTGAATTCTCCTCTTCCTTGTCTGACTGCTGGTCAGGCTCTGCCACAGTGCTGTCTTCATAGGTGTAACCAATGGTGGCCTTTTTCTCAGCCAGCCTGCACAAAACAGATCTAAGAGTTTTACACAGCTGCTCTAAATGCTCCAGTGCACAAACCAACTAGGAATCATCCATTTGAATGCAGAGCAGGGATGGAAGAGTAACTACGTGACATACTTTTTCTTCTCATCCTCATTTGGCTTCTGCAGGCCACCGTAGAGTTCATCCAAGTAGATCTGGTATAAACACTGCTCCTCTGAGACTGTAGGAGGACAGCAGGGAGTTTAGGAGCACAGCACAAGTGCAAAATATACCCACTGATGGCAACGTGTGAATTGTAGTAACAGCGCCTTGACAGTGTTGCACCATGAAAACAAATGGTGTTATTCAATGTGGATATAGCTTCTGAAAGTGACGTGAAATCACAATAAGAACATACTCAGCTGCAGTTTGTGAATCAATACTCACTGTTGGCAAAGTCATTCTGCACTAGGCCTCTATAGCGCTCATAATTGCACTTCCTCTCCTCCATCTCCTGCTCTGGGGTGCTGTAAGAGACAAACAGCATCAGATTGTTTTTCACACTTATTCAGTACTCAAATTACATCACACTCTGTATTTATGGCATGTGAGACTGAAACATCTCACTCTTAACATAATCTCACCAATTACTTAATAACCCAAGTATTTTGACATAAATTAACAACCAGAACTCTATAAAAGGTACCCTTGTGGTGTTATTCAATTCACTACCACAGGTTAAGAGTAAGAAGACATACGGTGATGTACAGTACAACAGAGGTCAATCAAACTTTTTCCATTGTTTTACGAGAAACTGAGTGCATTCAACAACTGATTTAGCTATAATGATGCCTTCTGATAAAAGACCTTGAATTGTAAAATCTTGCACTGCAGGTAAAACCATGATTTCCACAATAAGAACACCAAAGAATGTCTTTTATTTTTTTCAACCAACCAAGGGACATTGTTTGTATACTACTTAATAATTAACATTTTATGAGACATCTGATAAATTATAGATGACTAAATGCTAAATTTAATATTTTAAACCCAATATAAATCATCTGACTCAAGCTTATATATTCTGTATTCTATACTTGCTTATTTTGCTGACAAGAGCAGGATATATCCTTAATGAATTTAGGAACAAATGAATGAAAACCCCCAAACCCTCTCTCCTTAATACTTAATGTTCTCTCCACTGTAACATAATTTTATGTTACGGTATCATATTCTCTTGTTTATGACTTTTGTTCTCTTTTAATCAAGTAAATGTGAAAATGTATAATAACCTGCAGAGAACACCTAAAGTACAATCATAAGGCAAGAAATTTAAACATTACAAGATATCAACACTAGTCAGATTCAAGGCGTTACATGTGGCTCCAAGTCATTTAAAGACTTACGATGTGTTGAGCAGTGGAGGGGTGTAGGTGGGGACGTAGTCCAGGTGAGCCCTTACATCAAACCTGTCAATCATGTTGTTGACATCGCCTTGCCATGGCATCCTTTACACAAAACAAGAGAAAGGCTGGGATCAGCAAGGTCCCACCAGCACCATCCAGCTTATACATGTGTGTTTGTTTCCTCACATGTTAATGGGGCTCTCTGCAGCCAGTGCCACTGCAGGATCCAGATGGATCTTGTAGGATCGGCCATGAACCTGAAGAAACTGAGCTGGATCTTTTTTCTGTAGAGACAAAACAACAGGCGGTCAACAAACAACAATAGCACAGCATCTTATATCAATGAGCCACTGTGTTGCACTGGGTGACAACTTTCTACATTACAAAAAATATGTCCCCATAGTTTATTAACAGCTCCACAGACTTCTAACCATCACTTCACACAGTCTCTGGAGAGTAGCTGCTGGCCACTGCAAGGCTGAGACATGTGGTTCTGTTTAACTTCCTTCTCTAGCTTGTTGTGCAATGTGTCACCAGCTACTGACTTGGGATTAAAGTCCTTGGAGAAATTTACAATTTCTTAGACAGAGTATGATTAATACAAATACTATGAACGTCTCTCTCACACAAGAAGATACTGTTAGATGTGTACTTGTGTAACCCAGACTATTTAGTAAAAGTATCAAAGAGATGCTGACAGGAAGAGACTGATGCGGCTGCTGACAGTATCACTGCATAGGCTGCTTTGCTAGATGACAAAGTCTCTTACTATCTTCTCATAGTACTCTCGCCGGCGCTCGCCTCGGCGCTTGTAGTCTACCATCATGCCACGGAGCTTGCGCTCATGTTTGCGGGCCTCCTGCCACATGACGGCTCCGCTGGGGGTGGGGGCGCGGCGGGGCACGGCTGCTGCAGAGAGGAAAAACACATGGAAGAAAGGAGAGAAAAAGCATGAGGAAATGAAATGGGTGAAAATGATGTGGAGGGTAAGACACACAAGACATTTACAAAAGTTTTTTGGGGGGGGGCTGGGGTAAATGTTCAACTGGGACAAACTACACACATAAAACTCTGGGAGATTACTGTACATAACATCTGGTTTCCACATCATTTCTTCTATATAAATATTTTAAACAAAACTGTTCAATGCCTGGCCATTAAGAAAGCACGTTTAAAAAGTTGTTTGTTTCATTTTTTCTTTGGAACACGTTTAAACTCCTTTTGGAAATTGCCATACTGTCATAATATGTCATATTATTGTGTGTCGTATAATCCTATGTGGGATGGACAAAGATTTTTTTTTTAAATGTTTGTTTGTCAAACAAACAAACAATACCTAGCAGTAACTTGGAATTTTCTTTTTCAAATGTCTTCTGCAATACTTAACTTCTGTCCAGCATCATCTGCTTGTTAAGTAGTTTATAGTTAACAGCTAAAGCGCCTGGAGCTAAAGAGCTAAACTAGCTAACTAACATTGACATTGTCAAGCTTTTCTACCCACAGCACTCTTTATCTATTACAAACTGTCCATTTAATAACCTTCACCCGCGCCTGCATCCTACCGCTTTTAGGGTAACACGGTGGGAATATAAATGTTTTCTAAATGATCGAGGACTTAGCTAGCATGCACACTGGCCTTACAGAGCAGGCCTTCACAACGCAATGCCGCTGAGAATCATGTAGCATCACAGCTAGCCTAGCTTATCTTAGCTTAGTTCAGCTAGTCTGCAAAGACGTTAGAAACAACTCGTATATTACAGCCTAGTAAACTCCAGCAAAACGCAAAATACACACGCACAATAGATTTAGCATCGCGTTAAATGTGACTGTGTACCTGTTTTACTGACCACCAACACACACTGAGATTATTTTCGGTCAGCCTAAAGACGGTGTTAGCGGAGCGTCACACACGCCTCCTTCCCCTTCTTCAGACTGTTTGTGTGAAGCACCGAGCTCAGCCGCAGGGGGCGCTACACGTATGTATAACCGGCATACACATCGTCTCAGCAGAGAACACACACTGGCCATAAATGCTCGATTTGATGTTTTTACAAACATTAGAACTAAAAATATAGCTGGAAATTGCTTCACTTTCAATGGTGGAAGATAACTTAGTAGTACTGTACTTGAAAAAATGTACTTCTACCATATTTTATACTTTTACTAAACTATATTTTAGGGGGATAAATTGTACTTTCACTACACTTATCTAACAATTATAGTCACTGGTAATTTATTTTAGGGGGATAAATTGTACTTTCACTACAATAAATAAACAATTATAGTCACTGGTAATTTTTAATTTACAGTGGTTTACATGTCTGACTAAATACATCATCATATGCATTGGTAAATTAACTAAATTACCATTTTAAATCAACTCACATTAAATATCACATAATGACAAAGTGAAAAGATGTTTTTAACAATTTTTGCAAATGTATTTCCACAAGTATTCAGCACTTTTGCTGTGACACACCAAATTAGTTTGGAAGGAGGCCTCGCCAAAACCTATGAACCACATTTCAAACGCTGCTCAGTTTACGACTCAACATTTGTAAAAGTAGAAACACATCTGAGAGAGAGGGAATACAATATGAACATAACAAATGTTTTGAATGAGCAGCAGGGATCCTCTGTCACTCTCAGATGTGATTCTGTTCTTATAAATTTGTGCCTGTGTGCTGTCAAATGCTGAGTTGCAAACTGAGTTGTGCTCAAAATGTGGTTTGTGTGCCCTCATAGGCTTTGGCAGGGATTTATTTCCATATATAGAACCGACCCCAGCTGACACTGGGCAAGAGGTGGGATACACCTGGACAGGTTGCCAGTCTATCACAGGGCTGACACACAAAGACAGACCACAGACTACTCATTCACATTCACAGGCAATTTAGAATCATTGCAAAACAAAATGATGACTGTTCCATTTATGGAACAAAACTTGCTTTGCTTTTTCAGTACATATTCCACAGTAGTAGAATATGACATGCGATATTTATGACATAAACTGTTTATACATTTTGAGATACAAGTGCCTTATTTGGCAACTACAAGATTTGCAAATTATTCACCTTTTATTATTGGTTCCCACCTGACTACCAGTGAAAACAATGGCACAGTTGAACTGTGGGGGGTGCCACACAGAGGAACCATCCCAACCTGGCTCCTGTAGCTACCTCAGACAGCTAAACAGGTATTTATGAACACATTCGAAGCATTGTATATATTTTCTGTGTAATTTAACTAGTATAAACTTAATTAACACATTAATTGTTGACATCTCAATGACAAAAAAATCCACTGATGTGTGATAGCTGGTAGGTAACACTAACCTAGTAAAGCTAATGGTACACAGTAAGTTTCCACCTACAAAAAATGGAGAATATCATTTTAAGGTTTGTGTACCTGGTGTGGCCACAAGATGTCACTGTAGGACAGGATATGTCCATAACCTTGAGGTCCACATCACTTTTGAGATTTTCCTGGGGAAATGAAGAAATGTGCATTGTGTCAACCCAGATTAACTGAATGAACATAAATTCTCCTGCTGCTACAAGGTGGTCTGTGATTACAGAAGTATATTTCCTATGCAAAAGGCCTTGCATAAATGTTGAAATTCTGACAAGTAAAGTCAGTCATTTTACGCTCCATCAGGAGAGTCCAGAAAGTTTCTTTTCAAGCTTCTGTTTCAGCTGACAAAAATTTAAAAACTAGGGATGGAAAATAAGTACATTTACTCAAGTATTATACATTTGTACGCATTTCTGGTTGTAATTCTTAACCTTTCCTGTTATTTTGTAGTTTTACTCCGCAACATTTTAGAGGGTGTATTTCACTAACTACATTTATTTGAATCTCTGAATTTGAATTTCACATGTAAAACATACAATGTACACTTAGCTCTATATTTTTGTCTTCTCTGGCTACTGTACATAGATGAGAGGAATATTAGGAACACCACTAAATATAATGTGTTCAGTACAACACCACCTTTAACTTTGACCTAAAATAAACATATAATTGAATGTATACATTTATGATAATTTCACTAAAAACTGAAACATTTTGAGCTTCATAAACAAAGATGTTAAGGTGGAAGTGTTGCACTGAGGTGTATACAATTGTACAGGTGTACCTAATAAAGTGAGTGTACATTTGTATAATATACTATAATGTTCTCTTGCATCTTATATGCAATACTATATGAAGTAGTTAAAATTAGCTACTGTACAACATTAAAGTACCACTTACACATTAAAACTACTACATAAGTGGATCACGAATATTAACTTATAAAACTTTTTCTGCATAGTGAGTTCTTTTGCTTTGAAAACTAAGTTGATTGTTCTTTTTGCTGCCGCTTTTAATTAATGTTTCTTAATTCCACCCAATATTGCACTTTATCTACTTCTTCTTTTATTTGTCATCATTTACCCAATGACCAACTGACTTCATTATGTTGTTTATCTGACTGTACAGACTCTGATCTTTCAAATCTTCTGGAAGAAAGTTCACCCACCTATGGTGTAAACTACTCAGAGATTAGTGTTGGGAAGACTGAAGTAAAGGGGTACAAGACCAGTGAGAATCCACAGTCTGCCACAGCTACTTGTACTGTCATGTAATTGTTGCTTTTAAATAATATTTGTTATCTTATTTGCGTTCTAATGTTTTATCTATGTATGCATTTTATTATGTGACCCATCTGTATGCATTGTGTTAAGCACTTTGAATTTCCTTTGCATATGAAAATGTGCGATAGAAATAAACTTGCCTTACCTTGCCAATATTTTAAGAGCATTTTGCTGATCATTCTTTTATACTACAAATTTGAGTGTGTGACTTTTACTTGTAATGAAGTGTTGGTATTGCCAAGTTTTACATACTGCAACTTACCGTATTTGAATGTTTCTTCCACCAGTAATAAAAACAGGTCTGATATTTGGGGGCTCACTGCAGGTGTAGAGAGGATCCTAACATGTACTGTATGCATGTGTGTATGTGTGTGTAAACTCAGTTTCCTACACTTCTGTCTAGCCAGGGTGGTGTCAGGAAACCCTTGTTCATTTTCCGCCTGCTGCTGTTTGCACAGGCCAGAGGTCTCGTTTGTCACATCCATTTGCCCATTATTTGCCGCTGCTGCGACCTTGTAGTCACTTCACACTGCTCTGCCTCACAAATCCCTTCCTTTCACACACTGTCATTTCACACTGAATTTACAATTTCACTATCAGTCTGACATGCATGAATGTATAGAGTCTGAGCTTGGATACGGTACAGTGTCATATAAATCGTTTATCTCATCTGTTTGGTCTGTATGCTTTCATGTATTTTAGCAGTCTAGCAGTCTGATCAAGCAGAAATAATTTAAAACCTCTGATTAGTTAGAGGTCAGTCCCGATCCAAACCTTTTAGAAGCTAATGGGTCTGCACTGCTGCCAGTGCTATTCAATGAGTCTGGGTCACAGGAGGCCTTGACAGCGCCTCTCCACATTAAAACACGTTTTGGAGCAGATTTCTACAGCAAAAATATTTGGCAAAAAGTTACATACTGTATCTTTAAACTTTATCAATTTTACAATAAGATGTTTCACACAACCTAACTGTTGTTTTCTAGAAAGGCTGGGGCCAGTCAGGTGGTATTCCACTTTTTTCCTGCGACTGTGTTAATGTGTGTCAGAAAGAAAGACAGACTCGGTGTATGCAGCGACCCACTGACCTAGTCGTAGTGGCTGCACCATGTGCTGCATTGTTAAATATCCTCCATGGAGCCTCTGACACCGGTATGAATAAGAAAACTTGTCATAGCATCCAAGAAATTCACCCACCCACCCAAATACAAAGGGTAAGAACCGCTTTACGCAGTGTTGCAAGACTAATATTATGATTAATAAAATTTCTTTCAAGATGCAACATTTACACATGTATATGAAATATTTGGCATCTATATGGGAACTGTGGAAGTTTTGTGAGAATTTAAAAGAAAGTTTTGTATCTGAGCAGCACAGGTTGGTGCAAAACATACATTTGTAAATGTGTGCTGTGGTTGCTCATCCTGCACACTTTGAAAGGTTGAGCTTCCTATTCACTTGAATTACAGAGTAATAAATAAGCATCAAGTGAGAAATTCAAGACTATGTTTTCCTTGTTGCTCCCTCATGAAATTAGCTTGCTTTGGCCTCTGGCAACGATAAAAACAAAACAGCTCATCACAGCACCCCAAACATGCACTGGCATGCAGATATTAAAGGGGTGAGAAGCACCTTACTGTTTCTCTCATAGTTATATGTGGCAGCACTGAGACCTTCCTCTGGAAGCAGCTGTAAGGCCTGTGGCCCTAACAGCCTGATAATGATCATGAGTAATAAGAAATATAACAGGTAAATGCACTTTTATTAAATGTTGCTCCAAATGTAAAATGAAATGAGACAAACGGCAAAGTACTACAGAGATACTTTCAGACCAAACCATAATACAAAAAGGGCATCAATATGTACAATATGTACAAAAACAACTATTTTACACAAAGGTATGAAAAAAACATACATCTTTGACAAACTGTTGTATTACAGAGACATTACAGGCAACAGTGTAGAGTTTTAAAAACTGTTTTCAGAAGGCTTCAAAGCCTTTAGCTCAGCAGTGTGCACTCTCTTTTGTGCATTTGTGAAGTAAATTAACTTAAAATGTATCTGTCCTTCTTTTTACCCCACATACACTCATAATATACATTCTCTCTTTCACTCACAACCAGACGCAGAAACACACTGTTATATGAACATCCATTCATTGCCCTCTTTGTTCAGTCTGGAACAGAAGGAACAGTCAGATGGCATCATGGACTGGGAAACATGCTGAGATGTGTCTACAGAGGATGACCCTCTGTTTCCTCTTGAAAATATCTCAGACACTCCAAGGCAAGTCGCTAGGTATCCAGATTAATTCGAGAGTCTGAGTTCTTCATTCAAACATCAGGCACCTGATGCTCCTCATAGTTGACAAAATAGGCTCAAAGATGACAACAGTAAAACTTTTTAATTCCATTAATTAGCAGCCTTCACTTCTCAGCCATGTGCTGATAGCCATCTGAGTGCATAAAGGTCAGAACCAATTGTCCTAACTGCAACTGTGATATAGTGGCAGTAACTGGAGAAAAGATCCTGTGAGCAAAAGGCTGCAAAAGATACAAAATAAAATTAAAAATGCTCCTCAGAGGGTCAAAAGGCTCAAGGGTCAGACCTCCAATTCGGTTTGAAATGTCCAGTTTGGGGGCATGGGCTGGCTTTAGTGCCGGAGAGGGGTGTGAGGGGGCTGGAAAAGGTGGCAGTGTCAGTTCGATCTCCTCATAGCAATGTGAGATGGGGGCAGGAGGTGGAGGGTGTGTGAGAGGAGCAGTGGTGGTGGACATGAGTGGCATGGGACGGTCCACGTTCCTGATGAGGTTGACAAACTCCCTCTGGTTGTTGATGCCTTCTTCCTGTGGGATGGCCTGTTGCTTTTTCCGCTTCCGATGGAGGTGGGAAAGGATGAAGGCGCAGGCCACACAGCCACACACTGTCACCAAAGCCAAGGCTCCCACCAGGATCATAAAGAAGCTGACACCCCCATGTGTCGTGTCAGACATGGCACCTTCAGACGTGGAGGCAGAAAGATTAGACCTCATAAAGGTTTTGTCTACTTTTTTAGACACACATATTTTTCTTACCTGAACAGTCCGGACCAATGCAGGGATTTCTGAGACTCATGCACTCGTTACTATAGTAACCCTCTGGACAGGCACACATGTACCTGCCCTCTGTGCTGTGACAGGGTAACCCCTGCTGGCAGGGATTAGGATTGCACAGATCCAACACAACCTGAAAAAATACAAAGAACAAAACGTGAAGAAGGGTAAGAAACGACTGGGACTCTTCGGCAACAGTTCTACTAATCCATTACACTAAATTTGGTTTCTGCTCATGTGCAAAGCGGAACCTGAAAACTCACTGAGATGTTCATAAGGGGGGACTTTAGTGAACAAACTAAACTAAGGTAACATGTATGAAGATGTCTGACCTCACAGAAAATTCCTGAATATCCTGTGGAACATATACAGGCAGCCGTCGTCCCATCCTTCTCCACACACTGTCCTCCGTGCAGGCAGGGGGCGCTCTCACAGGGACTTGAGCTGTTTTGGCAATGTTTCCCTGAGAAACCAGGTGGACATATGCATTTGGACCCTGACATGTGCTCCTGTGTGGGACAATATTTAGTGCATGTTATTTAAATGTATGCAGAACAGAGAGACTCCTACTTTGAGAGAAATACAGCTCACCTCTTGTGACAAAATAATTTTCAAAATAGTTTGTATTCCCTGAATTAGGTCTGAAATGTCTAAGGCATTAACACAATTACAGTGATTCTTGTTTTTTTAATGATATGGAATGATGACTGTCAGAACAGTGTAAAGAAAAGAGTGAAGGGAACAATGGAAAGCAGGACAGTGCTGTGGCTCATTAGTAGACACTCACCTCACAACGTCCGCCGTTCAAACACAAACCCCAACAGCTGCTGTTCCCTAGAAATCAGAGAGACCAGACACACTCTATTAACCTGTCACACAGAGAGGCAAGATATGCACAGAACTATATGCATGGTGACAAAAGAACAGACTGGCATGCATTATCATTTATATACAGTCCATGGTCATGAGCCAGAATTGAATCGATGTCGTTGCATCACTGTGCAAATGTGATGCCAGACTGCACTTTTTTACAGCACTATGTCAGCACAACGTAACAGGAGCTAATAGTTTAAAGAAATCTTCACACAATGTCACTGGTTAATGTTACATGTTTAGTGTAATAGCCTGTGATAATGGAACTGGAGAGGCAGTAAACTGATCTCTGGCCCACAGGGGATCGAGGTTGCAGGTGAATTGTAGTTTTATTACAAACCGCTGCGGCTCTTCATCTTTCACTAACTGTCACAGGACTATGACTTCTTCCTTCTGCTACCCTTTTCTCTCATACTCACTGATGTCACAGTTAGGCCCCGTCCATCCAGGGAGGCAGTCACAAAGGTATCCACCGATCAGGTTGCGACAAAAGCGGGCGTGGACACATATACTCAGTTCACACTCATTGGTGTCTAAAAGGACAAAACAAAAGAGAGCAGTGTTTCTAAAAAGATGGACAAAAGTAAAATAAACAACTTTTATTTCTATCATTACCAAGAAGAGCAATGGATCCAAAACTGTTTTTGGATCTTTCTAATGAACCATTCACTATTTGTTTAGTTACAGTAGCTGTAAGCTGCAAATTTGAAGACTCGAAATGACCTGAAATTACTTCACTTTTTAAAAATTTAATATTTGCATTTTTCTAGATATTGAGAAGTTATGTTTTGTTTTCAAAGCACAATTGGGTGAGTTCTAGTGCAATGTGTGCAAACCTGGCAACCTGTACCAGAATGCAGCAGACCAGCACATTTCAGCACAGGTCACCGGATGCAGCTATTATGGAGGGGCCTAGTCCAAAAATAATCAAATTTGGATTCAAGGATTATGTCGTCAATCACAGCAGTAAGAAGAGAACAGTGGTATGCAAAGTGTGCAATGCAAAAATCATGACATGACCACAGCATCTAGCTTCATGTGTCACAACACAACTCGCAAAGAAAGGTAAGTACAGCTAACTTACTAGCTGATCAAACATTAGCTTGAAAGCTAACGTTAAGTTTAAGATGTTAGATTTGGCTTCAAATCGATTATGCATTTTACTGAGATGAGTTCCTGATAACCTTGAAAAGCATGCCTTTTTAATTTATTAGCTAAGGGTTATTTTGTGGTGTACAAATGCACATTTGACAATCAGAGTAGGTTTGTGAGCATTTCACTTAAATACGTGATATTCCCATAACAATATCAAATCATCTGGATTTTCTATGACTTGTTTTGTGACTTGCTTGACTAAGAGTAGGGACTCCACTTGACTTGCTTGAGTGTCACCACAGTAACATGGGACTTGCTTGAGACTTGAAGGTGAAGATTTGAGGCTTTCTTGTGACTTGCACATATGTGACTTAGGCCTACCTCTGCCATATAGTATGAGTATATTTGTAACTTTTTCTATGTGGAAACACTAAACACATAATCCTGACCAGGATTGGTATATAGCAACAGATGGGTCACACAGCATTTATTTCATCATGGGAAACTGAAACCTTCCACTAAAACAAGTTGAAATTACATTTCTATTTCAGTTGGTGAGGTAAGGGAAGTTTAATTGCAGATCTTATACAGAGTGCCATTCAGTTCAGCCAGCTGACACGACTTGTAAAACTGACAGAAAGTCTCTCAGCTGACCCCGGTTGGCATGAAATGTATTGTCTAAATCTAATGAATCTAATCCTGTATGCTTCTCACTGAGCCCAGCCCATCCAGTTAAACCAAAGTTAAATTAGATTTTGAAGTGGATGCTTGAACGTGAAGTGGAGATTTGCTGGGTGGATGCCAACAGGGTGCAAACCAACACTTACAAATTCTCACAGAGCCCAGTAAAGACTATGTTCTCACATGCACAGTACATGCAAAGTCATGCCTTGCAGCATCTCCTTGCATCTTCTTTGTTTATGTGCAGAATACCATGCTGCACCATTGCCTCTATTAAATTTATGAGTTTCTATTCCCACACTGTTTTACTGGGAATGTTAATGCCAGAATCCCCTGAAGGCCTGGCTCTGATAGCACAGGATGAGGATTACCAAAACGCTGAATGAATAAAGAGGACATAGTCAGTCAGTTTTAGCTAATCAAAACCTGTTACTGTCAGTGAAAGGACAATTAGGCTTTAGCACCAGCAGTGTGTGTAGGCTTTATCTCTGGAAAAAGTCTGGGTTTTCAAGAAAATATAGGGACAGAAGTCGACTAATAAAAGAGTGAAACTGATAGAAAGTATAATTGGCTTTCACCATTTGATGCACTACTGATGCTCTGCCTTTCAGCTCAAATTTCATCACTTCTGTTTGAACACTGTGGATGTGTGTGTGTGTGTGTGTGCACTGTACTGTGAGCTAATAGCCTGTGATGTGAAACAATAGGGGATTATCAAGTGTCAAAGTGACAATATCACCGTAACACAGAGGCATAGGAGTGTGTGTCATACTGCAGTATGTCAGAGTTTTACTCCATAAGTCTCAAGCCTTGGTATGAATATATATGTACAGTCTGTCTGTCTGTGTGTGTGTGTGCGTATGACCTGATTTTGTAATATATTCCCTCAGTTGTTCTAACACAACAACCCTCTGGGAGCGTATTTTTCAACCTGAGTGGATTCAGCCCAAAGAGACATGACAGTGCTGATTTGCAGTCAGGATGCGTTGATAGGAGAATTAACATGCCGCTGGCTTTCTTCCTTTTTAACTATGTTTTAAATGCATATTTCACTTCAAATGGAACACATAATCACATACTGCTCACAAAAACAGGTCTTTTGAAACCAGCTGTTTATTGTCTGATTTTGCTCGTTAGTGGATCAGTGTTAAAATCCTATATATAAATTCCTTTGAGGATGATAAATATCAGACTTTCTCATTAAAAGAACGCTGTATAGAAAATGTAATGACATACTTTAATGATGAAACATTATCACTGGAACAAAAACCCTAGCATGCTGAACCTTTGAAGCATTACACCAGGGGTCTCAGATGAAATCACCATTTTGTTTTCATCAATATTAGCATCTTTGCTCTGTCAGACCTAGGTCAAAGTGTTATATTTTATTTATAAGTTACTGTTGTCATTACTTAATCAGCTAGTTATTGATTGGTGGTATAGTATAGTGCATACTGTAGTTCTCATACAAACTGACTCACAATCAGCAGCCTGTGTTAAAGATGAAATCTCTGCCACAGTCCTTGTAAACCATGGTCATACGCTCAAGGTGTCCATGCATTTTAACCCCCGATTGAGACCCAGTCCCCGATGAAGCCAGCTTGTCTGGAGAAATGACTTTTTAACCAGTATTTTCAACAGTCCCTACACAGAGACTAAAACCAACAATAAATTGCCTCTACTCACAGTTAATGTCTGTCAGTCTCCAACCTTAATTAGCTTATACGTCTGAGACCACCAGTGGTGTTCAAAAACCATTAAAAACACATCAGTTAAACACACTGCTGCACTGGGTGACATGTTTTTTCATTATGAAACACAAGGCCCGCATGTGTTTTAAAAGCGTTGCCCCAAAGGCTCTGAACTGCCACAGTTCTTTACAGCCTCTGTAGTAAACGAGTCAGCTGCGCACGAACAAGATCTCTGGATATTCTTAACAAATACTGAGGTCTGGTGTTTTGTAAAGAGGGAACATCTCACTCAGTGCAGCGGTGTGTTTCAATGATGGGTTTTTAATTGTTTTTGAACAACCATGGAGGACTGTGACACAGCTGAATGAGCTGATCCGGGTTGGAGACTGGCAGACATTAACTATGAGCAGAGGCAATTCACTGTTGGTTTTAATCTGTGTATGGGCAGTGTCAAAAATACTGTTAATAAAAAAAATTACTGACCTTGTCTGTTAACTGAACTGTGTGGAATCCCTGAGCATGCAACCTTGTTTTATTTTTACATTTGATAGTGTTAATGGCCCTAGTGTCAGTTAAGAGTCTTGAAAAACCAATTTTCCATTAAAACACTTTATTAAACTAATCACAACTGTCTTGGTCTCTCTCTGTCTCTCTGTCTTTTTCATTAGGCTACACAAAACCTTATAGATGTGAGTAATAAAAGTAGTTTGAGAACAAGTTTCATTGCCTGACTCATAGTGAGACTTTTCTTAATTACAATTTCAAAGATCAAGAACAAACCTTCAGTCTTAACTTTGAAGTCAACATGGACAAGAAACTCCATCCAACAGTTACTGAACACACCTGGCTATTTATCAGTCATGTAAAATAATAATGTGATAAGATCATATTACTAAAATGACATTTTGCCTCCCCCTACTGTTACTCATTACTTATTCATTTAGTTTAATTTATTCATCACACTACACTGTTGAAATGTGTTATACAGTATGACTTATGAAGCATATTTTATAATGCATAGAGGATTATGCACAACATATTATTCAGAGGCAGCAACCCTCCACATGTACCATATACAGTATATTACATGTAGTTTTCCACTTTAGTCACAGCTGTTTAATCCTAAATCACTGACCCAGCTGGCACGTCCTGCCGGTCCATCCAGGCGGGCAGAGGCACCGGTAACCTCCGGGAGCCTCCTGACATGTGGCTCCACGGCCACAAGGGCTCCGATCACACTGCTTCACCACTGGGACGAGAACAAAAAAGAAATATATATATATACATATAAATCTCTGATCTGTGGAATGGGAATGTGTGTGTGAATATTAAACAGACATGTTAATGTGTGTGATGCCACCATGTGCACATGTGTGATCTGAACTGCAGCGCTGGTATGCGGATGATTTGGCAGCCAATGTTTTCATCCCCTGGTTTCTGTGCAAACAGTGATAAAACACAATCATTTGCTCTACATACATGGCTGACACCTCAAACCTTTTCCAGAGATGAGGGAGGAACCGGTGAATTCAAATAAAGGAAGGGATGAAGGCTAAATAGAAAAATGGAGCTGCCATGCCTCTGAAAAGGAATTAATAACAATAACAGATAGAGGAAGGGAGACAATGTGACAATGTGAGGCACAGAAACCACCAATTAATGCATAACTTTCTGTTAAACATATTTTTGACATAATGTGGCATCATAACTTTTCCCATGGTGTACATCTTTCACTCAAGAACTCTGTCTGTCTCACAACCTTTCTTCATTTACCTAACCCCACAGAACAAACATTTTCCATCCTCTTGACCCTAAATGCAACCCTAAGCAATAAAAACCCCAGTGGTGCTTCTCCCAAAACTAGACTAGACTGAGGATTCATAACAAACAAAGAAGCCTTTAATTAAAATCAGTTAGTACATATGATGTGTATAGTATAAAGCTCATCTGAAAACAGAGTTATGTATGGTTTTTGTTGTCATTCCCTACAAGCCTGACCATCCTTTCACTGTGTGTTCCCAGGAGAGCACGTCACAACACATACTAAGATAGGCCGGCGTTAGATCAGCAAATAACCAGAGTAAATAACCAAAGCAAAAATAAACTATTTCTTCCTTGCTCTGTTTGTCTTGTCCTCTTCTTCTTCTCTCCCTCTGATGAAAATTCCTTCTTACTGAAGTGTTTACATGCAGCGACCGACCTGATCGAGGTGTAATCAGAGGATGTGGGAGGCTGCTTGTTTACACACACGTTATGTTCTGACAGACCATAACCTGTGTGATCCAGCCTCACCTCCCGCTGCACACAACATGACCATCAAACCCACTGTACACATACTGGAGGTCTCCCAGTCAGACAGACCGCATGATCGAGCCCAAGACAAACAGCTATGACAGCTCGGTTGTTGCTTCACACCCCACACATGTTATGGAGGTGTAAGATTTTACAAGCTGTGACGCTGTAAGCCAGAGTAACACTGTGTGTATAGGAGACCAATATTCATATGGATGGGTGAAATGTGTCTGAGATTTAAAAATAAGCAACCATTTAGCTGTGGATGGTGACGCACTTAGATTTGACCTATTAGACTCTTTTAGAGTCAAATCAAAGGAGCACTTTAACATTCTTACACTTAAAGATAATTTGACTCATCATTAAGATTTTACTCAGCGTGTAATAACAGGAGTGTAACAGCTTCTGTCGCCTTGGTTGCCTCAGTCTGGACCATTCTTTATGTTCTAGTTCGAGCTGAATTAAATGATTTTGAACGGGTATGATTTTCTCTTTCATCCCTCCACACTGCTGTCTCCATTTTCTCTGTTTTAAGTCTTCATCATGCACAAGTACTCTTATAAAATATTGCATGTGGATTACATGGCAAAACTAGCTGCGTTACAAAACTCCTGTTTCCCTCTTACATACTATAACCCTTAGGAGATCAGGTTACTGCAGAAGGATGACAGTGACGAAAGGGCATGTAAACAGCAACTGAAGGGCACAAAATCAAGGTGAACTATGAGGAACCTTTGATGGTGAGTTCGCTGTGGTATAATATACAGAATAAACTCACAGACTCCCTTGTACCTGTTGCTATAATGTGACTTGCCATCTTTTATGAGCAGCCGTTGTTACTGGTGTTTCATGGGTTATTGCAGATTCCTTTTCACGGCCAAAGCTAGGCAGTCTAGCATTGCACATTTTTTTAGGAGAAACATGAGGCTACCGTAGAGCAAACTAATGTCCCCACATCTGACGAAGACAAAAGCCAACAACAGCAACTACATGTCATTTTCATTTCAAACTAAATCTGATAACATTACATTATACAACATTTATCTGGCAGACGTCTTGGCCAAAGCAACTTTACTCCTATGCACACAGATCTCGAGGGAACCAGATGTTGCTCCACAAATTCTCACAAAGGATTAAAGTCTCTGTGTAGCATTCTCTAGTCTGTGTGATTCAGAGCTGAGGAACAGTAGTATGTATCTGTTACCTCAGTTTACTTTAAATCAACAAGGTTGATCAAAGGTGTCTGCCTCAGTCTCTTCTTTTTCTTGGTCATGCAAACATAAGTGTAAATCCCTGCCCACACGCACGCACACCAGACAGAGGGTGAGACAGATCATAACTGCTGTTGATACTGTGTGTTTTCTGGCTTATTTAGCATTCTCTCTTGGAATTGATTAGACCCTCACTGGCTTTGATCCAGTATCAGCAATCATAGATAATCTCACACAGCTCAGCCTCTCAGATCACAGTTGAGTGCATGTGTATGTGTGAGCGAGCAAAAACACTGTGTGTGTGGCACTGACAATCACCATCTGCGCAGGTGTTTCCGGTCCATCTGTCGGCACAGATGCAGCTGAAGCCTGTTGGGTTTTCTACACAGGTGGCTCCGTTCATACACGGGGACGACAAACAGGCATGTTCCACTGACGGGAGGAGAAAGAGATGGAGGAGGTGGAAGGACAGACGTAACAGAGAAGGAAAACTAAGTACAGAGAACAATGAACAAGGGAGGTCCTGGTTTTTAATTACCCTCACTAATTAGAAATAGTGTCAGGCATCTATAATATGTGATGTCACCAAACATTTTGCACTAACAAGAGATGCAACTGACCACAGGTGCAGTGAAGGAGACGTCAGTCAGTTTGAAGATGCCCATACAATTCTTGAGAAGAGGACTAGGCTAAGTAGGTGAATGTGAAATCACCCGTGTGGGTGGCTATGGTTGTACAGGGGCTTTATTACTTTGCAAGATGAATGTAAATCATAATTAGCCCTTGTTAATCTTAATAGCTTTAAAGCTACAGTATGTAACTTAAGGTAGCACTATCATGAACCTCCAAATCACCCCACTCTGCTCCACCCAGCAGTCCCTCTCCCTGCTCCACTATGCTCTACTACGCTCTGCCCAGCTCTTCAGATATTTGTCTTAATGAAATTATAATTGGTTAGAGAGGTCAGTCCTGCTCCAAACAATCTAGAAGCTAATGTCTCTGCACTGCTGCCAGTGCTGTTCAATGAGTCTGGGTCACAGGAGCCTTCAACAGCACCTCTCCATGTTAAGACATGTTTTGGAGCAGATTTCAACAAAAATAGTTGGTAAAATTTACATGTTGTAGCTTTAAGTACTTTTGTACTGAAATACAAAAACATTTAATATTATAGTGGCAAAGTGTACTGTAAAATTTAAGGTGGTATTCCTTAGACCACCAGAGAGGTGAAGCTGCTTGGCTCCTCTCTCACTGTGACTGTTTATTTTAAGAGGCAAAAATATTCAAAAATGTGAAATGTAAAATATTTACACAATAAAATACTAATAGATTATTACAAAAACACTTCTATCAAGTTTTTGTTAGGACAAATAGAGTGTGTGTGTGGTATGGAGTCAGGTGCAGAACGAATGTTCAAGTACAGTATTCAGTACACATTGTTGCCAGTGTGTTGTATTTTTAAATGGCGTCTACAGTTATTTTTACATGCTGCATATATTTAGGTATCTGTTATTTTGAAATAATTCATATGTTAAATCTGAATTTAACTTATGCTCCCTGTGCCACATACTGTTATTACACATCTTTTTTGTGCATTTCTTTCATTTCAGATTTGGTATCTGCTGTATCCACATACAGTATTTAAATAAACTTTTTAAAGGTTTTCTGTGCTTCAGGAGGCCACACTCACCAATATCACAGTTGCGTCCTCTGAAACCTTCCCGGCACTCACATTTGTACTCATTTGGCTCAGTGTTGGTGCAAGCCCCGCCATTCTTACAGGGCTGATGGGTGCCACCTTTAACTGTATACTGTAGTTTAGTTCACAGCCAAAACATAGCAAAGAAATACAATACATATGGAAAAAGGAATAAAGGTTCACCAAGTTCACATCAGTTCAATTTTAACTCATGTAGAATACAGCAGACACACACACATGTATATGCTCACAGTTGCTTTGTCTCACCACAGCTCTTTGCAGAGATTTCTGAATGCACAGAAACAGGGCCCCCTCCTAACTAAGAGTACTTGGCCAAGCCCCATTCACGTTCAATTTACTCAAGGCTATCGCCTTTCCTCAGCACAATGCACGGTCATCGTTTGGCTCCTGGATCCCAGCTCCCACACGGGGATAGAGGTGGGAGGTGGGTGGTGGGTGGATAAAGTTGGAGGACCTTAGTGTGATGGGAAAAGTTAGAGTGGGGGGTGAAGCCCTGAGGCAGCCATGCCCTATCTCATTCAGTAGGTCAGTACACCATGCCTGGGAAGGTGTGTGAGGAACCATGCCTTACAAACCAGTATACTGTACACACAGTAGTTGTCTGTCTGTAGTTGTGTGTGAGAGAGAAACAGTGTGTGTACAATATTCAGTTTGTTTTAGGCACAACACTGCAATGATCTTTCATCTATGGCGCAGGACATGCGGTTGTCCATCAACCGGAGGGTGAGCGGTTTGATTCCTCTTCTCCCCAGTCCACGTGTCGAAGTGTCCTTGGACAAAACACTGAACCCCAAGTTGCTATGGCCAGAGCAGCACTTTGCAGGGACACTGTCACCATCAGCATGTGAATTGATGGCCGCCTTCTGTGCTGGAGACAAATTCCTTGTGTGTAACATGCTTGGCCAATAAAAGTGATTATCATCTTTATGCAAATGGCACAGTTCTCTACTGATTGAATTCAGCTATGGAGAACCTTGTGTCTTATGCTTTAATAGTAAAACAAACTCCTTAGGATACAATATATGCAGTTATGCAAGACAAGAAGTGATAATCTGACTCTAAGCATTCCTCATGGTGTTCCCAGTGAACAGTGTACATTTAGTATCTGGCTTGAGATTGATTCACGCGTCTGTTCTAATGACCTGTCCGAGGCCCTCGTGCACTCAGAATCAGCTGGTGTTTTTCTAAGCCAAGTACAGGTTGAATTTCAGATATCTTGGGGTCCTCAGACAGTAACATAGAAAATATGGGCAGCAGGTGGTAGTCTGGGTAAATCTGATAGAGAGCAGGCTTGGTTCACTTGTTTTGGTAAAAAAAAAAAAAAAATCCTGTTTTTCATCTTGTTGAATTATTGAAACCACAGTGTTCTTAACAGGAGAAAACAGTGGCACAGTGTCAATGCTTTGTGTATTGTAGATAGAACTGCACTGGTAACAAAAAATGTAGTTTTATCTGATGCTAATTTTGGTAAGAAAACCGTGCAAATGATGAAGTTCACCATGGGATGCTGTGGCACAGGGTCACGTGAGCATGATAGGCTATGTAGATGGATAAGGTAACATACTGTATCTGAGATGTTAAATTAAAAAAGAAGCAACAGAACATAGGAGACAGATTGACAAACATGAATGAAATGCTTTTGTTAACATATGATGACCTTCTTTGATTTCTACCGTAGTAACTCAACATGTCATATATCTGACCTTTGTCACACAACAGTCCTCCCCAGTTGACGTCACACACACACTGCCAGGGTTCAGTGCAGCTGCCATACACACAGCCAGGGAACGTCACACACTGATCACACAGAGGACCCTTCCAGCCGTAATGACACCTAGAGGAGGAGGTGGAAAGATATTTGTCCGTGTCACTTTCAGACGATTAATAGTAATGATTTTGAACCAGTTCTGTGCTGTAAAACAAAAACATCTTATTTTATTATATGAGAAAAAAGAAGCATGTTCTCATTTTTATTTTAATGACCCAGTACTGATTATAAAAATCCCAAGATTGATCTCTGCATGTTGGCCTTTCCCCAGTAAACATGTGCATCTGCAGTTAGTGTTAACAGTATGTGATTGCAGTGATTAATTGTTGTAAATGGTTCATTTGTGTTCATCTGTACTTGTGTTGTTGTTGATGTCTGCATCTTGCCAAGTACAGTTCCTATAATCAGAAGTGTTCTTGGTTTAGCTGGTTTATTTAATCCAGGCTCAGATAAAACCACACACACACACACACAAAGCAGGATATTTCATTTTGGCTGCCTCAGAAAGAATGAGTACAATCTGTAAAGGACTGGAGGAACAGAGTGTTTAGAAAAGGTGCATGACATTATGGAGCAGGCTTCTAATCATTACCTTTAGTCTAAAATATAGCACTACACTGCAGTGTGCTGCTATATTGTGGTATCATCTTATAGTGACTAACAGGTCGAATCTGCTTCACATTGTATCCATAATGCATCTTATAGTGACTAACAGGTTGAATCTGCTTCACATTGTATCCATAATGTGACTTTGTACATTGTGACAGTGATGTCGAATGCATATCATTTGGCCCAGGCCTCTGCTACTGTAAGTGGAAATTACAAACGTTTCTCACTTGCATTCTCCAGGTTCAGTACAGGAGCCATGGTCCTGATGACACCCCTTCCTGCACACTGCTGTGAACACAACACACAAAAAGGGAGTTTTTAGTGACTGGACAGCAGTTACTATGAAACAGAAACGACGCTGCGTTGAGTTACTGGGCATAAACACCTGCAATCTACACTGAATAAATCTGGATCACTGCCAGTAAAACAACAGTTCAGAACAGTCAACACAAAACATCTCCAGGTATCATGGTAAATGGACTTGTGTAGTGCTTTTCTATTAACTGAAGCACTCTCAAGCATATCATACTTCAATGTGGAGTCCAAAACAAATTTCCCTAAGGGACAAGTAAATCATATCTTATAGCTTTGTGATGTGATGGTATTTCTCTGCCAGCCGGAGAGTCTAAGACTGAAAACTCTGTGAACCTGCAGGGGGGAAACAGGGGAACCCTGCCTAATTTGTCCAAACTTCCTGCTTCTCCGCAGTCCAATCAGTGACCTGCTGAGGAGGAAGTCAGATGAACTGAGATGGGGCGGAATGGGCAGGGCTGCAGGATGTCCTTAAACTAGTTGTGTGTCCTTCGGGGTTCCCATGGCTTCCACTCTGGTTTCCTCCATTCATTTACAGTACCATCACAACACGATGGCAGGTCACAAAGTGAGGTCATTCAGCTGATGAGTCACAGACAGCCAGAGAATGGTCCGCACCTTCCCTCAACACACTGTGCTCACAGAAGCTAACTGATGTATATTTACTGGACTGGGTCAATGTAATGAGTCCTGAATGCATGTGGACATTTTTAGACTGTAAGGACATCACTTTGTCAAGTGGTTGGTTGAGAGCTACAACATGGCTTTAGGGTTAAGTTGTGCACATCAGTGTGTGTAAGCAATTTAAAATGATATTACTGATTCACAGATGACTATGAAGTTACAGGTCAAGTTGAACAGCCCTGATTCATGGTAGTTTCAAAGGGCTTGGGAGGGAAGCATTAGACAGGAAAACAAGGACAGTCTCATGGAAAAACCTTGGAAAGGATCCCTAAAGAGGAAACAGCCTTCTCAGGCTTTTAGGAAAATAAATGGAAAGCAATTTCAAAATTTTCTCATCTGTAGACTTTTGTAATGTTAAGGTCACAGATGATAATCTCTCCAACTACACAGCAATTACAACGTAACACCAAATAGTTGTGGTTTTATGGGAGTTATGAGGGGAACTACTTTTGATCGGGTGCACTGACTTGGAAACCAGCATCACTGAGCCCAGCAAAGAAGTGACCTTTGGCTACATAGGCTAACTGTTTCCCTAGTTTTCAGGCCTTATGCTAAGCTAACCAGCTCGTGGTTCATATCTACTGTACACTCATGAGACCAATAATGATCTTTTCATCCAATTATTAGCAAGAAAACTAAATGTATTGTATTTTTTTAGCATTCCTACAACTATACCTTTAATTATGTAGAAACAGGAGATAAAACAGCAAGATCAAGTATTGTAGTGGTATGAATAGTGATCCTGGTTTGGTAATGATTATTTTTTATTATTTATTAATCTGCCCATTAATTTGTTAATCTTTTGGTCTATAAAATGTTCGAAAACAGAGCAAAACAAATTCTAAAGCTATTCATTTAGTAGCATAAGAAAAGAAAACCAACAGATTCACTTTTAAGAAGCCAAAACCAGAAGTGTTACTTGAAAAATGAAATAAATCAATTCATCAAAGTTGCTGATAAACTTGTGTTTAGTCCAATTAAAAACCAGAACTCACATGATTTGTACATTTCTCTAAGTGTATACAGGACATAGTCTATGGTGTGATGTGCTCTAACATAGCACAGAGTTAAGTTTCCTCTCTCACCTTCATTGCACTCTAGACCCATCCAGCCGTCTATGCAGACCTTGGAGCCGGTGAGGTCACAGGTGAAGTGACCAAAGAAATCATCACGGGCTCGGCACAGCTTGTTGCAGAAAGGTCCATAGTAATTGGAGTCACAGCGGAAACGAAGCCGATACTCCAGGCTGAGAGTCCGTCCGTGGTGATGGTATGTCTGCCACTGTTCACCAGGGTTCAGCATGGAGGAGAGGAGGACACGCTCGATCAACTGACCTGAGTACAGAAGAAATACATACTTTTTCAGACTTTTAGGATTTCAATTAGAATGCATGATCCACTTGTATTTGATATTCTGTCCTTACCGGTGGCAACTGAAGCAAACAAAGTAGTATTAAGGGTGGAAAAGGCAAAGTTATCTCAGCATTAAGGTAGGCCATGTTGAAATTGTCAATGTGTCAATTAATGTTTAAACTTTGACTAACTGACCTTTCTTCTACCACTTGGGGGCAGCAGAACAAACAGTAAACTCAACACTGACATATTATGACTTTATAAATGTGATATAGCGAATGTGCTAGCAAACTGCTGCCCATTAACATATCTAGCCCTTATGAAGCAATGTTAGCATTTTATTTATTAGTTTATGGCCACCTGGCAGATTTTAGTCCAATATTTACTCTGAACTGTGCTTCCTAAGGCAAATATATGGCTCTTCAGTTGCTAAAGGCTCCACTGCGTTCACCAGTTACTCGCTAAATTTGGTAGTGGACTCTGGGTCTTTAGAGCTTTTTAAGTGAAATAAGCTGTTTGTGACTGGAAACGCCACTGATGAGAGTGGTCTGTCTAAACCAGAACTGGACAGTTATGAACCATATAATCACAACGATTACCTGAAAGATGCTAACATCCACCATGGAGTGGAGGATTGCTGCAGAGCTGGGTGATAATTCTTTGTGGGTTTGTCTCCCCTTTCACAATACAAGTACCCATTTAATCAATTATTAATACAGAAATATGAAACAGGCCAGCTTTAAACTTCTCTGCCACTTTGTATGCACGTGCCACTTAAGTAAGCATTTTTTTGTGCCAGCAAACAGTTTCCGATATGCTTCTAAAGAGTGGAGCTTATAAAATCATGTTAAAGAGAGATTCTTTCCCATCCACACAACAGCATTGGCATGGCATTTTGTATTTTTGAATAGTTGTCAGCCATTTCACTGTGGACAGGTTAAAAAGGGGTGCATTTCAAATCTATCTACATAGTAGTCTTGATGAGTTGGCTTTGATTTATCCAGAATTTCTTGGGAACAACAACTGGCATCATGGTATTTGACCAGACAAAGGGGGGTTAGGGTAGAGAACTGGAAACTGTTGTATATGAATACCAAGGGAGACACGGGCCTTCTATAGGACTTTGGGGCCAATCTGAGAGGACCAGACAAGCCCCGGGGCAGCGCTGGGGCTGTGGCTACTGCTGCTGCTCCTGACCCCGTAGGGGATTTCCCAGAGGCAATGTCATCCTCAGCTCAATTATAATCTCCTCTGACAGAGTATTAACACACACAAAGCACTGAGAATATGTGTGTGCAAGTGTATCATATCTGTGTGCCTCGATTTATGTGCATGTGTATTTAGGATGTGGTGGCGAGGATAAAGGAACGATTGCACGATAGTTACACAGAAGGGAAATTCATGAGTGGGTCTAGTGTGTGTGAGAGAGAGAGAGACAGACAGAGGCAAACAGAGCCAAAGAGGAAGGGAGGCAGCTACTAATGCACATACATAACAAACCGCCTGATGGAGAGATGAGATCACTGTGGTTTGACACAAAGGAATGAAAACAGGGCCAATATTGCCTGGTGTGTGTGCACATGAGTGCGTGTTTAGGTAGCTCACCCGCTGCCCTGTTCATCGACTGTCCTCCTGTTGTCAGGGCTTGGTTTCTAAACACTAATCATGTTACTGCAGTGCATTGTGGGTTTTTCATTATTTTATGACTCTGGCATGTCAAAGAGCTAATTTCATCATCACCATTTCTCTGCCAGCAAAGAAGAGGCACAGAAGCCCATAAAAAGAAATAAATAAAAATAATAATAATAGTAAGCATATTATCAGCCAGCACAGCAGGGAAGGTGTGTAACAGAGTCTGATACCCACTTGAACCTGATTAGATGAGATGACACGGTAACAAGTGAGCATAAATAGAGAGAGAGAGAAAATGAGAGAAGCTCAAATACTGAATTGGCAGAACAGCAGCAAAAAGAAGTAGTCAGCTGCTTTAGAAATCACAGTTGACAGCAAAGCAAGCAGAATATCAGCAGCAGTCACACGAGGTTGTACCTGCAGGGAGAAGGAGCACTTACATCTCTTTCTGTGGCCTCTGGTGATTGTCGCTCTTTGCCTGGTATTACTGTGAACTGCTTGTCATTGACTGTGGCCTGAGAAAGCACTGCAGCAGCGGACTCGCTGTTCCCTATCATCTGAAGCACATCAGTAAATCTGGAAACCAACAGATCAGCCAGATCTGCTGGTACCTCCCCTATATTTGATGCATAAAAGACCTAAACTTCAGCACATGTCTTGAATGTTATAGACAAGATGGTCTAGATTATAATCCTTATAATACTAAATTCCACTTTATCTCAGCGGTGGTGGCAGTTTTGTGTCTGTGATAGCCATGTCAGTAGAGGTGGGTGAACACATCCGTAAATCTGCATTCAAAATAGCAAATATGGGAACTGAAGAATGAACATGGAGGAAATGAAACTGCTGCTAATGTAATATAATTGCAGCACAACATTTGTGTGGAGTTTTTGATGAGGTGGTCTGTCTTTTGTTACTCTGTCTTGTTTTTACTTATAAACAACTGTAACATGCCAAGAAATCTAGCAAAGCACCAACAAACACAAAGAAGAAGATGACTGCTAGGAATGTTACTAAATTACTAAAAGGACATCCGACAGGGCAAGAATTACAAGTGATCAGATTTTTTTGGGTTGTTTGTCCATGAATTTGATATCTCAGGGACACCATAAGGGTAATTCTTCAAATTTGGCACAAATGTCTTTTTGGATTCAAGGGTGAACTGATTAGATCTTGGTGGTCAGTAGTCACAAGTCTGTGAACTCAACTTTGTTCCATACCCGTGAACTTGACTGGGCGGCAGAGGCATACAACCATGAAGCAGTAATTCTAGTTTTTCATGTATTTCCCTGAATAAACATATCTACTTACAGTCAGCCACTTACTCTACACAGTAGACGTATACACAGTTTTCATGTCAGATTATTACCAACATGTCAGAAGCACATTTTTCTGACCAAATAAAGGGGTTTAGATTCTCTGTCAGACCACTTGTATTTCTCATCCTATTAGAAACAACTGTTCCAGATCTCAGCAATTATGTGAGTGAGTAAAGTGTCATGAATAAAAATAAGAACCAAACCTGTGTAAATAAAGCAAACATTGTAATTAACTGGGGGTATAGTTAAAGGTTTGCCCTGGCACATTAACACTAGCCACATTTGATTTAAACACAACTATGTGAAGGTCATATTGCTGGGGCTCAAAGAACATATTTTCTTACTGTTCCCAAGGACTGTTTCAACTGTGCTCAGTAATCCTTTCTGATTAGCAGCAGGGCCTGATATGTCCATTCAGACTGCTACGGGACGCCCGTGTTTGAGCTGAGCCGCGCTGCTAGTGGATGACTTTAAACCCAATGTAGGGGCTGTCAAGAGCTCAGGTGGAAGCGGCAGAAAATGCAAACAAGATATAAGAGCAGTGATGGGGATAGAAGGAAGGACAACTGAAACAAAGATAAGAGACACAAACACAGAGATGGAGAAAAATCTCTGGTGCAGTTCCCAATTTCTCATTATCTCAGCCACCTTTTGGATATGACTGCAGTCTCCCTGCTGGATAGGGAGGTAGAGGATGGTGGGATGAAAGGGAAGACTGTGGCATGACAGGAATGGGGAAAGCATAGGAACATCTGTCACCATCTGTGTATATGTGTGTGTGTGTTGTGCTTTTTATAGCATGCAGCTCACATTCCTTGTCATGGAGTTGTTGTTGATTAGGAGGAGAAACAACAAGGAAACAAGCAGAAAATTAAATGGCTTGGATAAAAGACCCTCTAACCTCATTTGTTCACAGACGTACAGACACAGAGGATGTTTTGACAATGTTTCATCATGTTGAACCACATACAGTACTCATCGACCAACACTCGTGTTGTTTACTTCTATGAAAATTGTTGTTGTAAACTTACAGATAACCTCTCTTGGTGAGAGAAGGGAGGGCACTGCAGATAAAGCCAAAGTACACAGATATTTGGTCAAACTAAGACCAGACTGTGACTTTTGAGATTTGTTTACCCCAGGAACTGGTCATGCTAAAATCTGACCTATCTGAGATTCCGTTAACATAATAGTCAAAACTGAGTTATAACCAGAATCTATTTGACATCTGTTTTATCATATTAAATTATGCCCTTTTCCTCCATGAACAAAACTAAAACAAAAACAAATTTGTTTGTGTCTAGTTTGAGCTAGCTGGAATTAGTGTTAGTCTTAGCCACTGCAAATTTACTGTTTTCATTTCAATCTGTTGTAATTTAAAAAATAAAACATAAAATCTATATTGATGCCCCAAACCCTTAGTAATTGAGTTTGTTATAGCACATTAATAGGCAGCGGCTAAACACAATCACAGTAGAGAAACGTGAGTTTGCTTAGCTTAGATTCCTTATAGGTTTTACAACTGGTATAACTCTTTTCACACTTGGATACAGTAAGTAGCATTTTCAAAAACATGGAGGGTGAGAAACAATAAAAACTTCTATCAGCTCTTTCTGTCTCTCTTTCTGTGGATAATGCCATGTTTATTGTTTAATTTGGCCCACGTTTTTCACATTCTATATGAAAAAAGGCCAAAAGACACACATACAAACACGTGAAGTGCAGCTTCACCTGATTCTGATGTGTCGTTATCATAGTCCAGAGCCTCCAACACCAGGGAGAAGGACTTCTGTGAAGGCAACAGAGAAGACGGCAATTACACTTGTGCTGCAAACACATTTTTGAGTTTAATATCAACAAAACTTATCCAACTCTGTCCAGCACTGTATCATTCATTCTCTCACTCCCTAGGAGGGAAACACATCACCCATCACAGCTGCCACTGGTAATGCTGTTGGGGGTGGATGTGTTTTGGACACTACTGGTGTGCACGTGACTGTGCATATGTGATCATGGTCACCCTATAAACAAGAATTGGGGAGAGGCCGTGTCTTCAAATAACAGCTACAAATCTATGATTTCACATTGTATTTTCGTCCACATCCAGAGCGCTGATAGAAAAAGTTTCAGGTTCACGAGAACTTATTATTGTTCAATAACAATAACAAGAACTTTGTTATTGTGTGTTTTTTTTTTTTATCTCTAAACTTTTGATGTCTTTGTAGATGGAGACTGAAATTAAGTTTAAATTCTGGATATGTGCTGTGTTTTCAACTTCAAAAATGATAAAGATTTTCCAGATAAACTGCTTAAGTACTAGTCCTTGGTTGTGTGCTAATATGAAAGTAGACTAGTAATATTGATATTTGGTGGGTTCACAAACTCACTTTTGACAAACGGGTTTCTTAACTGAAAAAAAAAAAAACCATGATAAACATGATAAATGTTTTGTCCCCTTTCAGCTCTAGCAGATATAACCTGGCTATGTAAATGGGTTCAAATAAGCATATAAACTTTAATCTTATGAAATGGTCTTCAGAAATCATTTCAAATCATGTTGTTAGTGACTGTTTGTAAAGCTGTGAGAAAAAAATGTGCATGAGAAATTCACACACACACGTTTCACACTATTCAACCTCAGTATCTTAAATTATTTCTGAACATCATTTCACAAGTTTAAATTGTTCATTGACCCGTAGCTGAGTCCACACTGACAGTGTATAATCTCAGTTTACTTAACAAGAGTGTACGTAGGTGTTTTTCTGTCCTTGTGCTCAGCCTTGACAAAAAGGACAAGCATCAGAAGTGATTTACTCCACAAGCCAAGGATGTAGATTAGATACTGACTCAAACAAATCCTCAACTTGTAGCGATATGGAGAGAAAACGTGAAAAAGGACAATGTTACATGCCTGTGATGTAGCAGAACATTCAAAAATAATTTAATTACCACACTCCTGGAACAAGCATCCTTTATTCTCTTTGCAACCTATACCTTATCTTGCAAATTTCTCCTGGATGGCTGGGCCAGACTGTCATATCTACATGACCAAATCTGAATATGTATTAAGATTCAGAGCTGTATGTGGAGTCAGCCTATATATGGTTATCCTGCAGTACAGTAGCAAGGGACTCAGGCATAAGCTGGGTATCTAAAACTGATGGCTCTGAGCTTACAGAGATAACACACTCTGGAGAGATAACAAACGACAGGTGTTTTTCTTTTGTCTTCCTCTTTTATGATGCATTTGTTCATCCTATACACCAGTGATGAATAATTCAGACCAGCACTTTCCTCTACAACTCCCTCCCTCTTTATCTCTTTTGTTGCTTTCTCTATTTCTCTCCATCTATCTATTCCTCCCTCTCTGAAATGCACCAGTGCCTGTCATGCAAATCACTGTGTGCATTGTGGGTAAGGTTGCTCCTAAAGGGCCACATGGATGTGTAGTCACGTCTCTGCTGGAGGAGCATACTATCAGACAGGGGTGGGTGCGTGGGAGGAGAGGAAGCAAGGTAGGAAGTAGAGAAAGGTGATGGGTGCAGTTGGTGAGTGAGGTGCAATGTGAAGGAGAGATGGATTTGGTGGGAGGTTGGGGCAGGAGGTCTGCAGCATTGCTAAACTTAGCCAGAGGAAACACACAAGGAGCAGAGGAGAAGATGAAGGGCAGCAGTGAAGGTGCAAAATGGCTGGGGAGTGAAAATTGGTGTGTCAGAAAACACTGAGTCAGGGATTTGTGTCAAGTAAAGGCACATGCTGTATATCTGTACTGCAAGAGATGAGGTGATGGGAGGAAAAGGTGATTATACAGAATGAAAAAGGAATGAGAAAAGGGATCAAAATGATAACTATGAGGGGAATATGTAAAAAATTGGTATAGAAAGGTAAAGGATAAATGCAACTTTGGCAGCTGTGGTGGAGTAGTGTTTGCAGGGCTCCTGGTGTTTGTCAGATGTTCAGATACAAGTTGAAGAACAAGGTCAGAGAGAGGTGAAACAAAGGATCATAAGATAAAAGAGAAAAGATCATAGGAGAAGACAAAAGAAAGGAGCAGTAATAAGAGAAAGGTGCTACACACACACACAATACTTAGAAGCCATGGTGATAATGAGATGTGCTGAGTTGCAGAGGGCTAGCAGCCAGTTCATTAAGGTCGGCAGACTGCAGGTAGCCTACAGATGGACCAGCTGGAGTCATTAGGCTTTGGCTGAAAACTGAAGTATTGTTATTATTCATGATTTACATCTGAACACTGTGAGATCCTGCACCCCCAGTGCAACCTGACTACTGACTATGCTAGTAGCGGATTGTATAGCCTCCAGCCTCAAGCAGGGATGAGGAGCAGTCTGGTAAGATTCTTTCACACCTCCTGATTATTGTCCATTTTCAAACTCTTAACTCCAACTGACCCTGATTTATCAAGTGACATCCCTTGATGATGGAGCACAGTCCTGGCTAACAAAGGGGATTGGGGCGAGGCAGGGTACAGGGCAGGTTTGCAATCTATCACAGGGCTGACACAGAGAGACAGACAACCACACACACTTAAATTAATCCATGCCTATGGGCACTTTAGAGCCACCCATGGGTGGAGCCAGGGAGCAGAGTATTTGGCCTGATTCCACTCAGTGGAGGGAACCGCTGTGCAGCAGAGATGCCCCCGGCCATAATTAAAAAAGGAGCACACCCAAAGTTAGCTAAATAAAGCACTATGTATGTCTCATGTTTACACTAAAGAAACAATTTGATTTAAATTTAAGTAGAGTTTATTATTTCATAGATGTAGGGGTTTAATTTATTTCTCATGGGCACCATAGTGACCCAGTGGTTAGCGCTGTCACCTCACAGCAAGAAGGTTCGAGCCCGGGCCGATTACCTAGGAGCTAATGTATAGTGAAGTTTTTGAATAACCTGATTACTGCCATGCATATAAATGCGTTATCTGATTTCTGTTACTTAAGTGCAGGTAAATGCAGTAATTCATACAGGAAGGGTGTATCTGCAGTTAGCTGTGTTGTCAGGGTTGTGGTCTTGTATGGAAGCTATGGAGGGGTCACATTAACTATGATGACCAAGTTAAAATCACAAAAAACCTACTGATAAGTCTGTGTAAAATAATTAAGGGAATCTCTTACAATGAGCACTTCCTGAAAACCTTGCCAAAACATGCACCCTCACATGGACATCACAGCAATTTGCTTTACAATCAACAGGGATATCAGAAAGGCCAGTGCCCATTAGAGGCCAGGCGAGGCGAAGTGACCTCATGGTGTGTTTAAAGAAAACATGCACATAGAGGAAAATCCAACATCACAAAGAAGAGGCTGATAAGATTAAAGCAAAGTGATATTTTTACCTCCTTCGAGCAAAAACATTAGTGTTATTTCTGCCATTTGTGATGAGAATGGCCAATGTGATGAGTGGGGAAATGACATAATGGGAATGGGGTGTGTGTGTGTGTGTGTGGCTAGGGCGCTGATCATTTTAGAGGAGATGGCGAGATTGCCCCAGCAGAGGACAATAGCCCCTCTCAAAGCATTTTTGTCATGTATCTCAGAGTTTACAGTTGACATTTGGAAATAAAAGTAAGCTTTCAAGTGTACAATGACACATGACTTTACAGCCAGCAGCTCTGTGGGGCTGCACTTTAGCAGACAGGCACTTTGAGCTAAATGTCTGCACCTTTAACATAAATACCATGGTTTTATGATGTAGGGGTAAACATTAGGGCACTGTACTGTTCATGGAACAATGTACTGAGGTAAGTGGCCTCAGTACATTGCCTCAGAGTACACTCAGTTGGCAGTTTATGCAGTCATGACGGGGAGTTCATATAGAGCCATGTCCAGCACACTTCCTTCGTGCTGCCAACATTCAAGAAAAATAATTGTGTGATTTGAGTAATGGGGGCCTGTGCCCCAGTAGAACTTTGTGCCTAGCAACCCCCCTGTACTGTAGCCTTTAAAATGAAATTAGCCCCCATGGCCCCCCCCCCAGCCACCCCTTGGGGCCACCATTGGTTTGGACAAAAGTGGTGGAGTGACTGACAGACCGACACTGCCAACCTCACAGCTACAGTATGGGGTGTAAAACGGAGTAAAGTTGTATCATAATGAAGTAATATGTCATTTTAGTTTTTGTTGAACAAATGAAAAACCCAAGTCAAAATTATCCCAAACTGTCTCTTTTTTATTTTTACACACAAAAGGCACAACACTCGATACTCTGGATTTGACTAGTGTGTTTGCTTGATGCTTTTCTAAATACAATTTCCTGACAGCTGTGCTACAATCACAGCATGTGTTTCTTTCCCAAATGAATCTGACCTATACCCCTTCTCCACAGCACATTTTGACTTGACAGGTGGCACTAATAACATTAACGACGGCTCTGTTGCAAAGTCACTGTAGTGTAGCAACTCGTAATTAGTTATTTGTTACACCTGTATCTGACGAGTCAAAATATGTGCTGCATTAAATGCCTCATCAACTTGAGATTCACCCCTCATGTTTCGCTCATGGTCACGTGACCACTTTCATTTTCATTTTAACTTGTTTAATTAGAACTGGAGGAACAAAAGTAAACTGGAAGCTCTTTCTAGTGTAGCTGAGGCTCCTGTACACAGACAGTTCATTTCCAATAAGCTCTCTCTCTCTGATTGTTGCCAGTCATGACCTGTGCAGATGGTCTGAGCCTGGCACGGCTACAGACATTGGGGAATTTCCAAAAACACAAGGCAACTTCAAAACATGAGAATTAGCTTTGCTGTTGCCTTGCATGGGGATATGT